CCTTGACCTGGACATGCATTGTTATATCGTTTCTTGCATATAGGTACCAGCGATGGCTAACCAACATCCCAAATTCAAAGGATGCTGGCACCCACAGGTAACATTGCCCTGTTCTTGCCATACCCTCTGCACAGATGATGGGTATTAACAATCAGATTGGCAATTGGGGCAACCTGATACTCACGAGGTTCCATGTCCATAGCGTAAGCAGTCCCCGATCCCAAGCGACCTGTGGCGGAAGGACCCAGTATAGCGGGCGTCGTTTGTTCATGTTGCTCAGTATTGGAGGCCGGAATGAGCGCGCCAATCGGCCATCCTGTTTGATCGCGCAGAGTTGCTGGATCTCGAGAAATTTTGGAGCATACCGTATAATCTGGAATCCTATTTGTGGCAATGCTCGAAGCGAATTCAGATCTAGACCAATATGGATGTGACAACGAGGCTCCATAGTACGATCGATCGATTGGTGCTGGTTTCGAAGCATATCTATCGCTCGGCGGATATCCTTGGAGAAATTGTATACGCCACGAACGCGTGTCCCAAGACTGGAGAGAGATTTGAGCGTTTATACGAATGCCATATGACCAATTATCCTTTGACAGGAATCGACGCATGCGGTTTCGATTTGTTTCTCTTTCGAACGTGGCAACTTCAACTCTCTTTGCTTCGCACCACGTTTGGAAAGCATTCCGCGTGTGCTGTGGATAGAGGCAATAGACTCGCTTGAGCAGGCGATATGCGCTTACTGGTACGTCACCTTCGACCTCTACCTTCCGCCCAATGACGTCCAGCGCAGATTCTTCGGAAGACCAAAGGTATTTGGAGAGTTCACTCCATGGTTCATCTGCTGGTATCCAGAGATAGAAGTTCCAATCTCCGATTGGCGCATCGTTTGTCCCTATATTGTTATTGTGTCAATTTCGGACAGAGTGTTACTTTTGGAATGAATTTTTAGGTACTCACATGGTCTCTCCGCGAGTGGATAACAGCTACCTAAGTGTATGAATTCATCGACCCGCCGGAAAATCTCGTCCTGATTCTGCAAAGAATCTCCATCTGCTGACGAGATTGAGGGTATCATCTCTCGAAGCGTTTCAACGGGATACAAACGCGAACTTTCGTCCCTACCTAGCCCCAACTCCGCGACCAAGGCCGATGGTATGCCTCTGTATTGACCTTGCGGCGATTCCTGATTCAGGCCTGAAATCTTTTTCACATAATCGCTCCTCACGTAACTGTCCCTCAGCCACTGCTGAAATTCATGAAAGCATGCCGAAGGGTACCTGAACCTGCTGCTTCCGAACCACCATTTGTCATCCCTTTCGATGTAGAGGCACAGGTGATAGTGGTCTATCGTTTGTCGGTCGAGATATTGATCGACACCGAAGTAGCTCCAAACAGACGGGATCCAGTCGAATTGGCGGACATGCTCGTCTGTAACAATGAGTAGGTCAGAAATTGGAATGCATGATCGAGTTGCAAGTTGTACAGTCACACATACCTAGGCCGCGGTCTACAACGCGCCCATAGTTGTGCCTTTCCCGTCCCATTCTCATACCCTTGGTTTTATGGTCTGCGTCTGACATCTGTGACAGTCGGAATAGTTAAAGTTTGAGATCGAGTTGACGGAAGTACAATCGATTATGCTGTGATATAAGTCATCACTTGTCAATCACCCATAGCTCGAGCAAGTCTCCTTATATACAGACACGTCGAAGATCCACTCGACGAGACGACAAAGGAGAGGGTAGTCGAGAAGCGAGGTAACGCTCAAGGTCTCGGCTTCATTTGGGAGGACTCGCTCTTGGCGTGGCCAGTCAGCGATGAGTCCTTTGAGAAGCAATCGCATTCGGTGAAAGCCAGAGATGCATTGACCGGAAGAGACAGCCGGTGTGTTCACCCCAAGAACCATTGTCTTTGGAAGGAATCTTCCGGCTATCAGCTGATGCAGTTGACTATCATCCTTCAGGACGCATCCAGATCCATTTACGGTCTTAGAAGCGGCCGCTTATGCCGATTAGATGGCGGGACAGCTGTGGAAACGTATACACTCTGCAGCGAGGATCGTTAGCACTGCAGCGCGGGTATGATGAGGAATGATCAATCGATACCAAGCCTGAAGAACAGTATGACCTGATTTGGCGAAAAACCTCTCGCACAGGACTTCGGGTTACAGCATGGATGTTTGGATACGAGGGAGGGGTAGTACACATATGGGGATAGTCTATCTATGTAGATACCTAAACAAGTCTCGTCAGCCGGGATCAATTGATGCGATGACCCGGTAGAGCGTTGACTGGCATCAATTCAAGCCTCAAAGGTGTCTGAAAGCATCGATTTGAGGCACAAGCTCAAGGTGGGGGATGCACTCAGGGATTGAGCGGGCGCAGACCTTGGTCGATCATGGAGCACACTCTTCATCTCCAGGTCCCTTCCGCCCCATCCCCCTAGGCTGGAGCATGACTCAGATTTGGCTGTTCCCACATCACTTGTGAAGACGATTACTTCAGTGGACTCAGCGGGTTGCTGGTAGCCAATATCTGAGTTGTATTGTGTGGAGCTGTCATGCATGCTTGCCTGTACAGTCAGATACGGTTGCCAAGCCTCGTAAGAGGTACATAGACTCCATTGTGTTGCAGAAGGAACTGATCCAATTGAGCTCCATTCCATGCAGTGTGGCTGGTCCTTCAACCTCGAGTCGGCTTCAATATAGGCTATGTACCAGGCCCCACAATCAAGTGACCTGAGGTCGACACCTATGCGGTTGTGAGGCAGCTTGCGACCCTCCTCCGGTGTCACAAACAGGATTTGCTTTCTCTTCATCCGCCGATAAAGTACAGCAGGTTGAGCTCTCGCAGAGTGCTGCCAATCCATGAAGTGACGCTTGTATTTTGATGGATAGAAGAAGTTGATGGGGTAATCGTTGAAATAGGTAAGCTCATGCTGGGAAGCCTTGCAGCAGACATGCATTCCTCTATGAGGACCTTCATACAGCTCCCAATAGTGAAATGCCAGCTCCTTGTAATCCATGAACTTTGGTACCCACAAGTAACATTGACCTTCTTTTGTCAGACCTTCTGCACAACCATTGACATCAGCCATGGTTCTTATGTCAGCAGCAAGGATCTACATACGGGGCCTCATTTCCATGGCCCAAGTGGTTGCTGAATTGAAACGAGCTAGCCATGACGTAAATTGCGCATCCTCCGCCTCCAGGGATAGCCCAGCTTCTGAGAGGATAGACTTCAAGTCTGATTCGCCGAAAAGACCAAGGTCATTCACTTCTGCGAGATCCTTCTTCAGTAGAGATGGGATCCCCCTAACTTTCCCGACGGGAAGCCTGTACTGGCGGTCAGACCGAGAATGCCTACAGCTCCACCACCTCCACCTACGCTCTTCGGATTTGGCTGCGATCCAGTCCTCAAACTCTTGCCGATGAGTAGATGGATAGTTGAAGATCGAGAACTCCGGGACATCCCACTTGTCATCGCTATCCTCTACATAAAACCACAGGCGGTGATAATGTTTAGAAGTGGCGTCGAGTTTCACAGTCTCCGCAAGAAGGCAGTCAGCTGGGTACCACTGGAACCATCTGACATCTCTATCTATCGGGGGGAGGATGGGTTAGACATGTGTTGAGATAGACAACATGCGATGACCTGCCTTGTTGGTCTTCCAAAGAGTTTGTAATGTCCACAATCCAGCCTAGACCCAATCTCTCCCGTAGTCTTGATGACAATATCCGTTGCTCTCGTCTCAACGCGTCAGACATGATTACTTGCAAGTGTTCGCAATAGAGATAATGACTGTTGTATGCCAAGCTAGAGAGGCTCTAGACCTTGAAACGAAACGACTTATAGGGATTATACGATCATAAAGGACGACCGAAGAAGCTCAATGCCAGTGGACGGCAACGAGTTGGACAGCTTCCTGCTGCTCAAGAGGCCTGCATGTATATTGCACGTGATTCTTTATCTGAGAACCTAGGTCCTGCTTCCTGGAGGGTATTCCTTTGTGTATATCTAGCAAGCTATTAAGAAGCGTAGGCTATTCAATGATGCCTGGCATGCAATAGTGTGAGTTTCCGGGAATGGAGAGGGATGGGGGGGGGGAAGGGGGACTGAGGGTACGCATTCAAGTGAACAACGTCACATGACCAGGAGGATAGAAGGAGGTAGACATTGAGGGCGGTGCTGAACCCGCACCCCGTCGTTCACTACAACGGCATGCATCAGATAGCATGAATAAGGTCTGGGAAGGTCAGATACCTTGGTACAGCACTGGCGAAGAACCTACGGCTGAGGAGACATCAAAGGAGAGTATGGTGTTGTCGGATGACTGCTGTCCGTATGCTTGCGATTTCGCCGGAAGTATACGATAGTGTCACCTTGTCGAAATTTATGATGGCATCCCCACGTCCACGCGGCCGGTGGGTCGACAGGGGGAATCTCTCGGATATGCGAGCGTAGCCAGCGCCTGGCGTGCAGGGGCACGTCCACCTTCAATTTCTACCCGAATTCGTGCGAACATGTGATTCTAATCACTTACTTCCTTAGTAATGCCATGTCTTTGTGGAAGTGCGAGGCTTTGCGAGTAAGCTTGTCTGGCTAGTCTCTCGATGTCGATGCATCCCGCGAGAGAGGCTGAAACGAATCCGCGAGCGGATGTATTTTCACCAAAAGCCAAACATCTACCTCGCGATTCGGGAACCGTTGACGTTCGAGACCGCTCTGCAATCTATAGCTAAATGACCCTCCGATAGTGCAAGAATCTAGACTGGCTCGAGTGGACGCCGGATCGACTGTCACCTGGTCTGTCAAGGGCAAGGAGCGCGATCAGGGCGACATCCATGCAATCTAGCGCGACCAGAATAGAATGACGCTAGACCGAGTCGCCGCGCTCCACAGTCTGCGTCATCCGCATCGGGTACTTCACTCGGATCATCGATTGGGAGAATGATATATGATATACTGTCTCGAACTCGAACTGTCAGTGATCACCGATCAGTGAGCGATCCAAGGATGAAGAACGGCTTACATACTCTCTCTGGACGATCTTCTGTCATCGATTTACAATCGCATTAGCGTACCCAAATCCAGGGTTCGAACCTCGAACGCCCTGAAGACATGCCTCAAAACCGCATGGCCAACACTCGCTCACGGATGGACTCGGCTGAAGTAGCTGCACGGCGTCGCATACTGGCCATCTACACCATCATGGTAGCCTTTGGTATCACCGTCTCGTATTCCCTCCGCGACTCGCCGATATACCTGTTCGCCCCTCCGATAATGGTCACTTTGCTTGGCAGCGTTGTTGTCTGCAAGGCGGTCATACACGAAGCGAAAGATGTGCTCGGTACTGCTCGGTCCTGAAATGGTGAATCAATTCGGCGACGAGTCGGCAACGACCAGCTTGTGCCGTAGTGAGTAGGATGCGAAGAAAATTCAAAGTGATAGTCGCATCCGCTTACCAGTGCGAGCAAATCGTTATCCGCGCATGTAACAGTTCGAACACAGATCAATATCGAACCGCAACCACACATATCACATACTTTACGCCTCGACCATCAAGCCAGTCCTATTCGAGATCATTTCGCATGGAGAATTTCTGTATGTGATACCGCCGCTCCATTTGCCTCATGGTAGTCGGCCGGACTACAAGAATAGGAAGTCGCGGTTCCTCACAAACAAGCGGGATCGCGAGTTAGCATGGAAGGGCAGCGCTCGAACGTCATGTAAACCGATCTCGCGAAACGTTGTACTGCATATCAGAACGAAGACTATCCTCGATCTTCGGATACGATATGAACAGTTGAAACGCAGCTCGAGCTGCCATCACCTGCAATTGGATTTCCCTGCGCGTCACCCCGCCATCCGAAGTTAGGGAGATGAAAAATTTGAAAATTTCTCAAAACATGACAAGAGAAAGAAGGAGGTACTAATACAAGTGGAGTGGAAAGGCTTTGGTTCTCAACCTGACGATAGCAAGATTGCTGAATCCTCCAACCGAGAATTCAGGCTAACCCGAACTCATGGCTTCGATTGCGGGACGACAAGTCCGCCGCCACAGAAAACAGAAGGATCTTCTGTAAGCAAGTCTGTACCAGTGCTACGCAGACTGCCGAACCATTGCGATTCGTTGGTGAACTTGAGGGGGACGAGAGAAAGGTGGTTACTCTGGTATGTGGTCGAGGATATACTCGTCGAATCGTGGGCTTCTGACCATGTTCCAGAAGAGAAGGCCGTATCTGAGATGACTGATCCGTCAGGCGGGTAGACCTGATTCATTGCGAAACGCCAGATCCCCGCAATGCACTTGTCGCGTGTTAAAGATCCTTGGAGACGAATGATAGAAGGGTCCAATCCTTCTGCCTGACGACTTTCGTGAATCTGATTGCGATCGCTCATGCGCGACAAGACGACCACTTCGGTCTCCTTCGCGTCAAGCCACTCCCTGAATTTGGCCTTGGCGTAGAGGGGAAAGAAACATTGAACGTGTCTAATCAAGGAGAAGGACTCGGATTCTCCTTCCACCTTTGCCTCGAAGCCCATCTGAAGCATCACTTTCTCGTCTAGTGCCCAGTTGAACTGTTCGAGATGGCTCAACGAAATCTCGAGTGGTACCCAGAGGCAATAGTGTCGCCGGAGTTCAGGGATGACGTCTAGAATTAATGGCGAGTGAGCGTCAATGCGATCGATGCCAGTAAGTTAGAAACCATACTAACCTTCTTGATTCGGTAGCAAGAAAGCACGGCCTGACTTCAGAGATTGCCTTCCTTGTTCAAACTTGGCATCTTCGCGTTCCAAGGAGTAATTGCTTGCGAGAGTGGTGTCGTCGTACAGAGACTGTGGATCATCGCTGATACTGCCGTCCCGTGGTATATTTTTTCGCCTGGCAATCACGCTAGCAGGGATACCTCGAATAGATCCTTGAGTAGGTGGCGCCACGGAACCCTGGTATCGTGCCAACAATCTGTCACGTTCAGCTTCCACGCTCTTGTACCACCTATCGAAATGGGCTTTTTTACGGGAGGGGTAGAGGAACACAACCGGAATTGGTGTCCATTCATCATCGCCCTCCGTCCGATTGAGCCACCATATCTGTTCTCCAGTTCGGGCGTCGCATTTCTCGTTATCGAGCTTGTCCTCGGAGGGTTCCCAGCGATACTTATGGGCTCCCCCATCTACGCCTCGTCCGAGATCAGCAAAACAACACAATCACATGAGGGACAACTGACAACATACGCTGGTTTTGCTGATCGAGAACGGCGACACCCAATCTCAACCTCTTTCTATCTCTCTCGTATATCCGCTGAATCGAGAGCGCAGCAGCTGAAGCAGCCGACATACTTGTATCGAACTCGTGATCGATTGTAAGGGGAATTGCCAGGGTATAAAAACAAGCTGGATTTTCGTGAAGCGATCTTTCTTCGAGCTGTTTGGCAAGCATATTGAGTAGGGGTTTATATTCGCGCCTTAGCTTGCTGATGATGAACTGACGCGGCACAAAGGAAGACTAAAGGACCTCAAGCAGCTCAGGAGACTGTACTGGGGGAACATTTCGGGTTTCTTCAGTCATGGAGCGACCTGTCTCCTATACTGTACCCGAAGAGGCGGAGAAGCGGAGCGCTAAGACGTGACCGAGACAACAAAGGACACAATTACGCCTGTCCTCTCGTCTCCCGCGGATTAGAGTGGTCCAGGGACGACAAACTATACGTCTGACCTCCGATTGAAACACAATCCCCCCTCTTGTTGGCAATCATCGGGCTGCCAACCGGCAGGGAACCATACAGTAGCCGAATCAGACGTATACGATAAGAGCTGGGCGGTAACGCAGGCCAGAACGGTCCCATTGCCAAGCCGATGATGAAAGGATCAAGCAGTGGAGCCGTTGCGTGCCCTTTGATCGCGCAACATCGCGTGCTTCTCATGCAATATCAACCTTCTGCATTACCGCACCTGAATAGCTGCCTCGTCTATCGTACGTTGGATCATCCTCTACTGTACAGACGTTGGCAAGCGCCCCAGCTCACTAATCAGCATCGAAGGCTCGATTAAATTCGATTATCGAATGAGATCACAAGCCCTTGAGCCTGCCTCTTATTCACGTTACGTTAAACGATCTTGAGAGATACATATACAGTCAGCGCGTGCGGCATCCAAATGAGACCTGTTCAGTACCGGAAGGTCTTGACGCTCGGCTGATCAACAGCCTTGAAGTTTGCGAAGATCGCTGCGAGATTGGGTCGAGTATACCGGGCGGTTTGGTTCAACTTGAAATTGCTTTTCACTGCGCAACATGAAATACCACATGAGATGGCAAGGGCGAGAAGTCCAACCAAGCGAGTTCCATGGTCTCCTAGAAGTCCAACCAAGCGTGTCAAAGGTTGACTAGAAGTCTAACCAAGCGAGATCATCACAAAGTAAACATAACACAAGTCAAGTTGCGACAGCAACATGACATGTTCCCCCAAGGTACACCCTTAACTGACTGACCATGACTAGTCTGAGAAGGGTTTGGGATGTGGTACCCTGTTATTATAGGCATCCGCGGTACGCATGTCGTACACACGCGGGATGTAGGTTTTCACCTCGTACGGAGGTCCGTTCGGAGACTCTCTCGGAGACTCTCTCGGAGACTCTCTCGGAGACCTATTAGGAGATGTGTTCGAAGATGTCTAACTAGCACCTTGTAGTAGTTAGACATCCGTTATTACATTCATTACCCTACCCGTACCTTCTAGCCCCGTGTGTTACTATTCGGGTTTGCTGGCAAACCTTATAGAATAACGGATCACCCAAACACCCCGACTAGGAGACCCCGTATACGATGAATACGTTCACGCAGTGTTACGGACCGGATAGGGCTGTCCACCCCATCCCTGCGGATGCGATCCCGGTCTTGAGCGAAGACGGGAGCATGCAGATGATGGATGGACAAGGAAGGTTCATGTGGAGGAACCCAACTGGGGAGACGCTGGTAAACGACCAGTGCGTCTTTGCCCACCAGCAACCGGAGGTAGGTGCCACGGGGGTACCTACCGCTTCCACGCAGGCCGCACCGGCCAACAACATGGGGCAGACTCCCCCACAAATGCAGTCGACACCCCCAGCAGCTAACCCTGCTCCGGCCGCTGCGCCTCCTACCAGCCCGGACGTTTCCGCCCTGCTCTCCATGATGGCGAACATGCATAGCCAGATGATGGAGTTGGCGATGTCGAGGGATACTCGATCGGCGACGGCCACGGAGGAAGCGAGAGCGAAGCTGTTCAAGTTCGGTACGCCGGACAGGTTCGATGGCAGCAAGAAGGAGAAGGTTAGGGGATTCCTGGACCAATGCAACCGGGAGTTCCAAGTCAAGCCGGGGTTGTACACCGACCTTTACAAGATTATGTACGCGGAGTCGTACATGGATGGGCAGGCCCAGGCATGGGCAAGGGAGTACTCGTCGGGGCGAACTCAGGTCACCTGGCGGGAGTTCGAGGCGTTGCTCGTGGAGATGTACGGAGGGGGAAGGAACATCCTTGCTACGGAGAAGGAGTACTACTCTCTGAAGCAGGGCAACAAGAGCTTGAGTACGTACATCACCGAGTTCAACGACCTCGCCGCCCTCCTCCCAAACCTCAACGAGTACGGCAAACGGTCGTTCTTCCGCGCCAACCTGAACCAGGCCTTTCAGGACGCTATTATCCCTATGCCCAACCAGGAGCATATGACGCTGGCGGAGTTCCAGATGGAATGTCGTCGGTACGAAGACCAAGCGGAAGCCCGTAGGCACACGTCTTCGGGTAACCGTGCCCACACGAGCGGGAATCGTTACGCAGGTAACCACGTCGCTCCCCGAAACCCTGTTGTGGTTAACACCACTGTTGCCCCTCCTGCGGTGGCCGCCACGTCGGGTGCTACGCCCATGGAGGTGGACGCTGCGAGGATGCCCGGCGGGAAACCCTGCTACAACTGCTGGCAGCCCGGCCACAGGAGTGCCCAGTGCAGCAACGCCAAGAGGTCTCCACCTGCTTGGTGGCAGGCTCGGCAACAGGCTGGTCGAATGCAGGTGGCTGCGACGTACATGCAACCTCCCGCCCAGAACCACCAGGCGTATTGGGATGAGGAGTTCGCCAAGCAGAACGGGGACGAGCCGTTGCTGTGGACTCCGGGTGCTTAGGGTTTTCGTGTTTGTCATTACTCATTGTTGTACCTTCGTCGGCAGGACCGACGAAGATGTTTATCACCATTCCTTTTTTTACGAACTTAACGAGCCAACGACAATCAAGTTTGTCTTACGAAAACAATGAAGTACCACGACTCGCTTGGAGGCTCAATCGGAGACTCGTTCGGAGACACGTTCGGAGACTTTGCTGGAGAAATGAATCGCAACAAGAAAATAGCATAAAAATAAAAAGGGAGCCGACCCCCGAACGGCGACCAAACGAGACGTTACAAACACAAACAAAAATCACGCTCCACCACCGTCGCCACCACCGTCACCACCGCCATCGCCACCGCCATCGCCGCCCCCATCGCCACCATCACCCTCGTTGCGGTCCGCGGTGTGCTCGGTCGCGGTCCCCTCGCGCTGGGACCTGGCCCTGCTACCTCGTTGCGAGGGCTGCTTGTCCTGGGCGGGAGGGGGAGCGGCGTCCTTGGCGGGGGGCGGGTCGGCAGGGGGAGTACGGAACCGAAGGGGGTTGACGGCGGCGAGGCGGTCCCGGGCCCGTTCGTACTCCAAACGAGCGTCCTCAGCGACCTTGCTGGCGGCCTCGGCATCAAGCCGCTTCTGGCGGGCCTCTTCGTCGGCCTTCTCGGCCGCGAGACGAGCGTCTCGTTCCCGCGCAGCCTAGGAGAACTTGGGTTAGCTCAAAACGCAAACGTAGAAAGAGAGTACTAACGATCTGGACCTCGGTCTCCTCCTCGTCCACATCCATGGCGTCCTCCTCGCCGGGCCACACGGGGAGAGGCTTGTACTGACCCTCGGCGAAATCGAAGGTGATCTTGCGGGCCTCTTCGAACCCTTCCCAACCGCGACAGGTGTTGGGGTCCAGGTGGTCCCACTCCTCCTTGTTGTCGGCGATGGCCTTGTAGAGAGCCCCGCGTTCGCTCATGACGGAGACCCCGGACCAACGGTTGAGTTGAGGTACAATCTGGATGTCGGATAGCATGCAAGAGGAGTCAGTGGAAGAAGAAGAAAAAGAAAAAGAATAGAAGAAAACAAACTCACAACCGTATCGAGGAGCCTCTCGATCTCGGTCGCGACCTCATCCCGAGTCCCCAAGGCCATCTTGTCGGCGCGCAACAAGACCAACCCCGCTCGAACTCGGGTCTCGGTATCCTCATCGTCGTCGAAGACGACAACCATCTCTCGAGGAACGGGGGCACAACCGAGCTTCTTCGGGGCGCACCGACCGCAGGACCTGGTGACGTTGCCGGCGGTGTGCGGCGGGTGGATGAGATGGCGGCAGAAAAAGAGACCCTCGACGCTGATCACGTCCCACCACGTGCCGTCTTCCGGGTTGTACGTCACAAAGTCGGCGGGAGTGACGCTCTTGAACTTGCCACCGTCGAAGCAACGTTGGCAACACCATTGCCAACCACCGGAGAATTGGGCCTGAAGATCAAAAATCAGATATCAAAGGAGGGTCAGTCGGAGACCCTCTCGGAGACCCTATCGGAGACACGAAAACAAAGGAATATCAAAGGCTTACCAGCAACCCATTTACGCCATCCACATCCCCTCTCATCCAAGCGGAGATTACCTCCGGCGGGACGGTTCCTCGGAATCGTTCTTTCGCCTTCTGTAAGGCGTTGACTTCGTTGACCTCGAAGCCCTCCCAGTTGTTACCGCGTATGTAGCCATACACGGCGTCGTTGACCCAGTCCGTGGCGGCCTTGCGCTTGCGAGCTTTCGAGGGAGTAGGGGGAGCGGAAGGAGGCATGGTACGAAAGGAAGGAAGGAAAGATACGGGAGATAGTAAGCTATAGGTTTGCTAAAGGAGAGAGGATACGTACGTCGAAAAACATCAAGTCGACAAACCCCCTCGGGGGTCTTATACCTTTCACATTTCGAGAACAAGACAAAAGAGACCTAGGTAGCAGCTACTAGGACAAAGCAAGAAGTCGTTACTTCGAACACGACAAAGAGAATACAGCGATATCGGTTAGAAAGGACGTCGATACATACGACATCACCTTTGTTTACATCAACGAACAATACCGCGGACAGGACCATGTTGCAATGTCCGCGGGGAAGACAATAGAAGATAGACGCGCGACGCGTCGTCGTCGTCGGCTAGGCGTTTCAGACGGGTCGACGACACCGATAGACAATAGGTTCTTCATTGCAGCACCCACGGGCGCCGAGCAGTGTTTCAGAAAGAACCAGTGTACCTGGGCGTACAAACCGAAGGTTCTAGACGATCTCTTCGGAGACAATAGAGCGGGGGCACGAGGAGAGTCGCGAGGGTACAGACACTGGACGTTTCGAGGGAACAAAGAACTTCAAGATGAAACGTCTACTCTAGCCTCGGACTACTCGACTACTTTGGGCAATCTGGAATCTCGCCCTAAGGGGGGGATCCTATTATAGGCATCCGCGGTACGCATGTCGTACACACGCGGGATGTAGGTTTTCACCTCGTACGGAGGTCCGTTCGGAGACTCTCTCGGAGACTCTCTCGGAGACCTATTAGGAGATGTGTTCGAAGATGTCTAACTAGCACCTTGTAGTAGTTAGACATCCGTTATTACATTCATTACCCTACCCGTACCTTCTAGCCCCGTGTGTTACTATTCGGGTTTGCTGGCAAACCTTATACCTGTCATATGACTGTCTGATAACTATCATGCTCGAAATTGCGCTCAAAAGGGTGATTTAAGCTGTAATTTGCTGGTATCTGATGTTGCTCAGACAGAAGCTGCGGTATGATATCGCGCGGCACCCCAAAATACAGTGGTAAGATAGCTCGCGGTGAGTTGACACTTTCGGCGCAGTATAGTCGAGAGGTATGGATTGGGGACAAATCATGGTAGTGGAAAAACAGTGGAAAAACGTAAAATATACGACATCTGTAATCGAGTGCTGAAACGAAGGCTAATCGAATAAGGGTTACTTTTCCAAGTATCGATGCGGCGTTCCATTTACGACCATGATACTATCCTGCATGATTTGCCGTCCTACAATTGTTGGTTAAGTCTGTGGCTTCGAGCTGAAGGCGTTGATAGAGCGTAGACCATTCAGGATGGAGGAACAAACGGAACACGCCAATCCGCTTCGTAGATCTACACTGAGATACACCGAAAGGCAAAGGTTACTGGTCATTGTACTGACTTGCCGTGCCAACGACAATTAGACTCCCTCCCACGAATTCCTGTGGCTGCAGCTGCATGAAGATGTTGCTGCTGACGGTCACAGATGTCCACGTAGATTGGTTTTTCCGTTTCGTCTCCCACGAGACAGTCTTGTGACGACCCGAGCCGCCAGACAGCTCGCTGTCATATCGAGTGTTCACAACACTGGGTAAGCATGTCTGCGCCGAGCTCTCTGGTATCTGATATCCGCCTATTAGGGCATTGCACACAAGCCATCATGCATCAGTGTCTTAGTCGTATCTCTTAGTTCTGACATCCGAAAACATACCTATAGCGCTGAGACCGAAGGGATGTCCCGTTTCGTTTGCACTCATCGCTGACATTCGTACCAGGGTATCGTTCATCCGGTAATCTAATACAGATTGTTGAACATACGATGGGACCTCTAGGACCAACGGCGATTGTCTCCCCTTTGCCCAAGAGAGCCATGATGGATGCGAAGCCTCAACATCCCTGGCAAGACTTCCGGAATTCGTTCTTGCCGCATTTATCCAGGTCTTGAAGGCTCCTACATATTGTAAAGGATACTGAAATCGAGCCTTTCTGTGGTAGATCAGGATATCATGATCCAACGTGAAGTAATCCGCTATCGGGTCTACGCAACAAGTGCTACCACGTGACCAGTCGAAGTTATTCTCTTGAGATCCTGGTGGCCACCATATAAAGTGGCTCTCCATCATCCTATGAGCTTCTAATAGTGAGAGGACACATCAGAGTGGTCGGATGCATGGGCAAACATATGCCAGACTTACTCTTGGAAAACTGGACAAGCCTAGCAAACCGTTCTGATCCCAGACAAGACCTTGTCTGCTCGTCGAGTAAGAGATTGACCATTGAGGATGAGCCTTGTGCCCAATGAGATGTGATTTAGATATTATTCAATAGACGAGCTTCCAGCGCTCTTTCAGGTTGTTTTAGCCTCTACGAGCCTGGTTATATAACATTTTGCCGCTTTGCTATATCTCGAACATTGCGATCAGACAAAGGAGAAGACGTCGTCATGTCGCCACGTGATAGCGATCCGCCTCATCAAAACCACATTATCAGATGCCAGTATCTGCCGACGATGCGACGACATGTGATGACTTTGTTCATAATGATGCGCTATTTACGCATGCCAATTCCTATCCCCGCCCCGCATTCATGCCCAACGGACCGTCGATACTGCGGGACGATGATGTGTTTCGAGCAATTATACTGGCGCAGTCGATTGTAATCGAAAGGCATAGGGGTTTAAAATCGCTCTGATCGATTGCGATCGAAAGGACCGGCCGCAGGGAAAACACCGCCAAGATACGCTCGGCATGATGATATCGATGATGGCGGGATGATGGCGTGATACTACTCTGATATGCTGTGATGATATACACTCCGAAAGCTATTTCTACCGCTCTAGAACCGCGGGATAGACCACCGCTAGAGTTTGCAGCTTTGGAGATGCTCTATTCTTCAGCGTGGCTGTGAAGCGCAGCACCAGCCCGTCGGACCTTGGCGCGCCACCCGTTTCTTTTGTACTTGTGCTGATGAACTCTTCGTTTATGAAGCTTGTACCCCTTGTCCTTCTCTTCCTCCTCATCGTTCTTTTCAAGATGAGAATAGGAAGATTCGTAATGGTCGTGAATGGGTTGCTGTTCCCTGTAGAATACATCGCCGGATATCCCACCGGACGGAGTGGCGGGCAGTCCGACAATGCCGAAGACCTGCGTTTCGTCCCCTACCATCCCTGACCACCCGCGCAACTGATTCCCGTCCCCATACCCATTCCCACGCATTCCCATGTCTGTCCCGCCTCTCATCCATAGGTCGTACTCGGCTACCCCTGCGTCGGTGCCATCGTCGACGAACCCCCCGACCCCAAAGATCGCAGCGAGGAGGATGACGACGGTACTGAAGAACAGGATCCGTGCGAACGGGTTGTTAAACGGGTATTTCCCCATCCTTTGTCGATATGCGCGTCCGTGTCCGCCATGCATATAGGCGATATTGTTTTGTTTCTTGCGGTTGCGGTTGACGGGAGGGGGCAAGGCGTAGGCGGACGAGGTGGTCCGGTAGCGTTTGTGTTGAGGAGAACGGGATTGGAAGGAGCTCTTGAGGACGAGATTGTCAGGCTCGATGGGGTTATAGGTATCGTCCTCTTGTTCCTCCCGGCTGAAAGTAAGGACTCGTCGTCGAGCGACCGATCCGGCCGATCCGAAAACCGACCCAGTCCCCGCTTCAGGTATAGATGAAGATGCAGGTGTAGGTGTAGAATAACCTGAACCTGATCTCGGTCGACAGACGATCCCCAACCCGGTCATCCCCTCTTTATCACCCGGGGTCAAGAGGATCCCGTTCTCCCCTGTTCTGATGGCACCGCTCGTGCTCGTGCTCTGTTCGGGCGTAACAGGTTGAGGTTTCCCAGGGCTTCGCGGAGTATCCATTCGATTCCTCCTGCCAATCTCGATCTCTATCTCAAAACCGATCCCCATCTGTTCCATCCTCTCAGTTCCCCTAGATTTCGGTCCTTCCGGACTGGTGGAGGAAAAGGAATCCGACTCATCAAACGCCCGATCGAGGAGCAAGACCTCCCCCTCCCCATCCACACTCGGTAAGACCAACCGATCAGGCGTCCTCATCTTCGGTGTCAAGATCCTGTCTATCATCCCAAAGATCGAATAGTCTGGTTGAGGATGAGGGTCGCCGTATGAGAGCCGACGACGGGTGTGTTCGGAGAGTGTCGGGCTGGGACTAGGAATAGGAATCGGGCTGGAGAGGTCGTGATAGCCGTGATCTTGATCGTAATGGTCATGGGTATCGTACGTATCGTGGTAGTCGTCGTTGTTGTAGTTATGGTGTCCCGAATGTACATGGCTGTCGTGTTCGAAGCCGGGTTTACGGCCGTGTTCGTTATCGTCATTATGTTGCAAGCCATGAAAGTTGTAAGAGAAGGTTTCGTATAATACCTCTGTACCGGATCCGCCATCGAGCGGAGAAGGTGGAGAAGGAAGATGTCGATGATCATCGTTTTGTTGTTGCATTTGAGTAGGATGAACATCATTCAAATAGAGGTCGAGCGAGGTAGCGCTGATGACCGGCGGCGAATCTTGATCCACCGGGTTCATCGAGTCCATGCTGGTAATCAGTTCGAGATGCTGAGGTTTGAAGGTATAGGATTTGGATTGATTGTATGCGATAAGAGTCGAGGGGTGTGAGGTACTATGAAACGGCCAACCATCGGAGTGAGCTAGCAGTCCACCTGCATCTCCACACCTTCATCTAGCTCAGTTGAGGACTTACTTCTCCTTGTCCCAGCCAACGTCACTATCCAAATCCATGTACTCGTGATGCCGAACCTCCCCTGACCCAATTCTCTTCAGGTTGATGGTCTTGTCTGAAGCCAAAGGACCCTTGTTCTGGCAAGGCAACGGGATGAACCCTAACTCGATCTTCTTGATGGGGGTCGACCGAGTTCGAAGTCGTTTAGCAGGCGGGGTGTTGTGCTTGTACACGCTCGTAGGGATGTTGTATTGAAGGTTGGGTTGCCAGGTTGGTACGGTGAGATCTTGTCCAGACCGAGACTGAGATTGAGGATGAATTGGGAAATGGGAGGCAAGGCGAAGAGGTAGAGCGGGGGTTTCGTCCGTTGAAGATGAGGATGAAGATGGAGCGGTCCGTGCTCGATGATGCGAGCCGAACTGGTTCATAACACCTGGACTATATGTTATGATTGCAGTAGTGATATGGTCAAACGAGTGTGTGTTGTAGCGTTGTTATTATTGTTGAAGCTGTTGTTGTTCCGGAATATCGCCAGATCAGCCTTGCCTCGTTCGTGATCGAATGGCGTTTGCTTACTTCGCTCTTGCAGCAATGGAGCTAGAACGATAGGAAAAAGAGTGTTGGATGCCTCGTTCGAGGCTGTAGCAGAGATTCAGACGGTGTTTTCTGGGGATGATCACGATATCGACGTTACAAGATGCTGTTGGTCTCGACGATGTTGTTGATATCCTCGTACTCAACTCGATCGACCTCATCGACCTCCTTTGATCCCCGGATATACCCCAACAAAGTGATTTACATCCGTTCTCTCTTAAATAGCTTCCGTCCCGGTAGGCAGGAAATAGACCCCGGGGGATATGAGCGGAAGCTTTTGGCCGTTTCCGGTAATTCGTTGTACCTGCTGCATTTGGACGAGGTGACGAGTAGAGGTCGACCTGCGAGAAGAAACCCCAAAGTATCTGTTCATGTTTGATGTCAGACCTCGCCATGTTGTCCTGGGTTGGCCAACATCGGTATGGTCACGAAGTACGGAACTCGGGCTCTGCAGTTCGGACCCGCTGCGGGATCTGTTGACGCCGGACGCCTTCCCGGTCGCAGCCACCGACCGGTGGGGTGTGGCGTCGGAACAGCGATCGTGAACGTGTGGCAGTTCAGTGATTTGCAACGATGCAACGATACATATGCAACACACGATGTACGACTTCAGGACTGTATCTCTGGGTCAATGCAAAAGACCAGTGTTACGGCGGCCAATCCATCAACATCAAGAATCGTTGGAACGGGCTGCCAGGCAGTTATAAGGGGCACTGGCAGCTCGAAGGTGGTCAGCGCTTTCACCGAGAAGTTGATGCTATAAGCGGTCAGGCAGGAGTCATGTTGATGCAAGTAGAGGACGGTATTGATAGGTGAGCACTTTGCGTTCGAAGGATATCGATAGCCTATTGAGGCTCATCACTCATTCACATAGGTCCATAGCAGAGTCTGTTCTGAATCTAGCGTTCAGGCTCAATTGCGAGATGTCAAAGGCGAAGCAGCATCTTCTAGACAAACTTGAGAGGACCTGTACCTGTCGTCACACAGCTTATATGTCGATGTCGCTTGAAGAATTCAAGACGGCCTGGTCTTCCTCCTGAGTCGAGAAGTGCAGTCTCAATTCGTTCAGGTTTGAGGTCTATGGCAGTCGAGGTGACGCGGCAGTTGAGGAAGCGGACACAATGGTCGAGGTAGACGAGACGAAGAACAACTCCCCCCCCCCCCCCCCCCCCCCCTTGAGGTATTCAGACATGCTTGTGAGCTGACCGACGGGTGGTATCCGATATAACTGAGTGAATGACTGATAAAAGGTGTCAAGGAGAAAGTATAAAACGGGCGTGATGAGGATTGGTCCAAGAATGGAAGCGATCTACCAGAGCCGCTAGCAATGAAAGCCGAACCACAATTCGGCGGATGAGTCGGTGTTGAGCATTGAACATTGAAATCCGCCTAGGCGCTCGATGCAAGGCTGACTCTGAAGGCAAATGTATTATAACCGACCGAAGCATGCGGGATCTGTAAAGGTGCACGAGCGGTACTGATTGAAACAAGGCACCCTAACCACAGGCCTCATGGTGGTCGGTGTCGAGCGCTCTGGTTAACGAGAAATGAGAGCTTTGTGTGGTCATAGATCGAGCAATCATGATCTAGAAGGCCAAAGTCCCGCATTTGATCAAGTACAACGATAAGAAAATATCGATGTATCGGACTTGAAGTATGAGCAGATTGTAGGGTCGACATCGCCAAGGCGAAGAGTGCTCTTAGCAAGATGGATCGGTATTTGTCTCGTCCGTAAAAGCAATGCAAGATCAATCGCATCGCTCACCATCTCTCGGTCGCGTCGAAATGGAGGCCTAAGATGAGTATCAATGAAACTCCACAATCGTCCTCTTGACGATGTCGCTGGCGACCGTAGAACTATCGAAGCGATCACGACAGTCGTCGATATTCGCCTCGGGTCCTTGGCGGAGATTTAGATGTAGAAACGATCGCTATCCATCGCGTGCGATTTGAAATTTTTCGTGACCGTTCGGAGAAGGAATTGGCTCTCTTGGTCATGATAAGGCATAAGGGTGAGGGTCTTCAGCCGATAAGCCACAAAAACTGGTTGTTTGGTCAGAGATCACGCGGCTTGTACCTTTGGCGGTCAAAGGAAAACGTTCGTTTCAGGTTATTGTCAGATTGAGATTCATCGCTTCGGTCTAGGCTCATCGACTGCGGTGGTGCATCAAAGGGTAAGTACAAGTATAGATAGACAGGCTGCAATGCATCAAATCGAGTTGCTTCAACGATAACCTGCGATACGCCTGAGTCAGCACAGTGTCAAGAGAAAAAATCGTACATTCGCCATGGCATTAGGAGACCGTGTTTGTTTACTTCACTTTCGATCGTGCGATCGACCGGCTCGCGAAGTCCCAGGCGATCTTTATTCATACTCGGTCACGAATTCCAAAGTAACCGATGGGAAAAGGTCGTGGTGGAAGTTGCATAAGCTAGACGATAAAACTGATATTCAGGATGTCGTTACTGTCATACCTACCGACTCCAAGTTGGAAGACGTCTTTTGGGCGGCGAACAGCGGGTTCCGAAATCAGATGGTGTATTACGTGCGTCAGAACCAGACAAACGGCGAGTTGGAGGAGTTGAATTGGACTGAAATGAAGGAAAAGCTCAAGGGGGTTGAGTGGTCCTCGACGGATGATATCCACGCAGAACTGAAGCTCTACCCAGCAGGCAATGAAAGCACCGTCCGGCCAGGGAAGAAGGCTCTTGGATCTCTGGGCCAGAAAATGGATCATCGGCGAAACAAGTCTACTCCGTTGACAGGTGCCTCACGTTCAGGTATCAAGAAGCATCCTTCAAGGTCCAGGGCTGGATCGAATGCCTCAGCGTCAACTCATGTGTCGAGGCCAGGTCCTTCTCGTCTGCTCAATAGCGTCGAGGGGACCGCTACTGTTAATGACATCATCGCTACGCTACGAGATGAGGTTCAAACTACTGGCTCCACCGGCGGCCAGAGGAGCGGCGAACAGAGTACCCTTGCTCTTCCAACGATCACAGTGACGAGTCAAGAGGAACTTGACGCTAGACTCAGCGAGATGTTTCTCATGAACGGTGGAGACACTGAGAAGCCATACCAGCAGATGTAGCTTTTGATGGAAGATTGTCTTGTAGAAGCTTTAGACTGAAAGGATTGAATAGAGATACAGCGAACGAGACTCAGAATCTTGATCGTCTTGATATGACCGTATCCAATAGGCTGTACATGGAATCCCGTAACGGGAAACGTATCCACTACGGGGTAACGCGAAGTGGGAATTATCGCACCTTCGCTTGCTTCCCGTTATACCAGATATGCTAGCCCAAGGGGCATGCGCGATGAACCGATCTCCAGACCACAACCTGACACTGAGACGCCATTCTAGCAGAAGAGTAGCCAGGGACGGCTGAGGTTCAAAACGATCATGCCCTAGAGTATTGGCTCCGCTCTTTGAACTGTTTCGACTGATCACGCGCCTTTTCGCGGCGCAGTGACTTGCAGCCAGATGTGGCGCAAGGCTTTCAGACCGTAGTCAGCAGCTATCGTTAAGGCGATTGGCCCGAGTCTATGTTAAGCTCGACTTTGATTCCAGGATGTCGCATCCCTGTGACTGCCTTTGTCATCGAGGGAAAGGGTGTTCGACATGGTTCCATCCGGCCAATAAATTACTACCCCCAGCATAACGAAGGGTGAAAATGTGCGCCCGAGATGACGCGATTATCAGCCTCAGTATGAACACCTTCATGTTTATGTTTGCACTGAATTCGAACGACGGGAGCTACTCGACCATTTCTCGCACGCCTTCTTAAGCCATTCAAACATCGACAACCAGAGGTGAGGTATCGCCTCCCGCAGCCTTCCAACATTTCCCTTGCTGTGATGACTCGACCCATTGATGTGTCCGTGATCCTCAAGAATGTTGTATGGCTTGAGGATCAAACAGAATCATCGCTGGGGCAAGAAAGGAGGAGGAGGGGAGTTTCAGCCACAAAGTTTTCGCCGGTACAGACTGCACGATCCAGTGCAGTCGCCATCGGCAGGTGTACTCCTTTGATATACAATACCTTGCTGGCCACCCTCACTGTTTTCACCTCGCGGTCAGTAGATATATAATGACTCGGCACCAGTAGGTCGCATTTCCAGACCCCTTTATCCGGCTTGCGCCACTGTTGGTTCCTGAACTGAATTGTGACCAAGCCTAGAGAAGATGTTGGGACAATCCAGCGCCATTACCTATCTCGTGCGCATGCGACCACCCCCGCAGGCCTATAGGCCCCCTCTACATCCCGACCTCCAGAGACACCCTGTGATCGCTGCCGACGGTTGTTGTTTCATGCTGGCCGAGTCGCCGAATAATCTGGGACCCGAGTGCTTGCTGGCTCCCTACATCTGGCCTCATGCCCATCTTGCCCATTCGTACAACCGTACCATAGTGGACGTCAAGCGCAAGGTGCAACAACGTCTCACTATAACTCCAGGAGAGCTGGCCGAACTTCTGGAGGGGATTGACGGAGCCTCTCAAGATGCCATTTACGAGGCTTTGAAGCGCCCAAAGCCCGACTCGGAAAGGAGTCAACTTCCGAAGAGGGGCCGTGAAGGGGCGAAGAGTGCCGGGGTGAGGAAGCATCGGGACAAGTCCCGTGCGATGCAGAAGCGGAGAAGACTACTCGTGGCGACGACCGCGTCATCTCTAGAAGAAAGAAGTACGCAGGTCAATAGCGGGACAAGTCAAACAGAGTCGACCGCTGCAGACACGGTAATGGCGAATGGACACGATACCTCGAACACAGACGAGTGTGAATCATTTGTGTCGGCTTTGCAGGGGCTCAAGCATAGGTGGGAAGTCCAGTCCCTCTGCTCGGAAATGGAGTTAAACTTGGTCCTAGATGAGCAAAAATCCGGCACATCCAGGACAGGAGGGTCCGTCTACAGGGAAAGTATATAATCTTTAGACATTTCCAGCACGCACAACAGTACGATGTACGGAAGGAGCACGAGGTTCTGTAATTGTATATGTCATTCGTATCACAAACAGTTTCTAGGAAAGGGTTTGGCAGTGTCACAGTCGTAGTCCATACATGAGATCACGATCGCACAAGATACCGATGGTGTGAGCATTTGGCCATAGTTTATACAGACGAACAGAACCAGTGTCATCGTGACCCATCGTGTCCAAGAGGGCAATCCTTTGATCGATGACGCGTGCGCAGCCGCCACACCTGAGGATTGATTTCCTCCGCTCAAACAGGCAGGAGACACAGCTTGGGAATCTCGTGATCTCACAATGTCCTCCTTTGACGCTAACGATGCCGCGAGAGCTCAGCCGTCTCCCTTATATAGCTCTGTCGCCTAGATGGTCCTATTCGCAGACGCCTCCACAATGTGGATAGATGTACATTCTCGCATTCGACAACGCAGAACTATTTCGTTCACTGGGGATTTCAAACACTGCAAGATGGTCACTTATCTCTTGTGGTTGGTATCTGAAGGAGATTCTCAACCTTCCTCAAACGACAAAGGGATTGCTTACAGTCCAGTGGAGATAGGACATGGGTTCTCGGTAATGCTCAAGCAGGCTGAGACCGACGAATACCTAGATGTGGGTCTGCCTCCTGGGTACAGGCTGCATTCCTATCTCTGGAAGGAAGGCAGGGGTGCATATCGGTACGAGCATCGTGTCTATGATCGGACTGAATGTTCCCGTTGGAGTTGCATGGAGTTGCGGGAAGCTCTGGAAGGGATACAACCTGTCGTGTACGCAACGATATTCAGAGACCTGGATGACGGCGGACAAATGCAGAAAGACTTCACCCATGTCCAGGATAGGCGACATAAGCAAAGTTCGATTTCGGTAAATCGACTCACCCAGAAGTCGAACGTTAGGAAGAGGAGTCCTACCAGAACATCCCGAATCGAGTTGAGGAGGACAATGGAATCGCTCGATTTGACAGGACAACTGGAACCTTCGTATGTCAATACGCAAAGTAGCCAGGACAAGAACTTTGCCTACAGCCGAAGTAGCAGCGCAAACATATCGTCGCCTAGCGGAACTGCCACTACGACTGTCATCTCGTCCTCGCTGTTTGACGGAGTATGCATTCAGCCGGACGCTTGTCCTGCTGAAGAGGGTATCGAAGTCGAGATGTAGCGATCTGCGGTGGAACCCTCCAAATTGAACCTGGACCGCGAATGTCGGTGATGGACGAGAGAATGTCATGTATCGCCCTTATACCTCCAAGCTTGCGTTATCAGTAGCCAGAACTAGCAGTTATGACTCTTCCTTTCATGCATATGTATCCCTATGGCCGATGGTGTACAGTATACAGTATACTATTCCTTTGCATACCCCGTTTCCGATCGACTATACACATATTGAGATCGAACTAAACATGTTAAGGCGAAGTATCGCCCGAGTTGGGTAAACATACAGGGAGATAAGCTATTCCCGATGATAGTATAAGTCAAGGAAACTCAAATGGCACACCACTCGATGGTACTCTGCCGGAAATCACCCCATCGAGTAAACCTCCTTTTAAGATATTCGTAAGAACATCAGTCTGTAGCTCTTGTACGAGCTGGACAAGCAATCGTCTCGGCAAAGAGGGATGGCGCACTGAGGAGATGAATGATCGGGGTCCCACCTGGATCATTAGCCTCGTGACTGGGCTGCCCTTAGAGTATGTCTGACATCCTGCCGAGTTGCGTCTCTCCTGCTACCTAGTACTGCATTGTAAGAGATCGAGGCGAAGAACGAATTCAAACAGTATTCACCGAACGCCATCCTTTGAATAAGATATCCTTTGGTCGTAAGAGACACGACATGTGAAATAGATCGCGAGCCCGTAATCTCGTAGCTCTGCTCATGTAGGGGAGGTCTGGTCTCGACCTTCCTTTGATCCATTGTAGCGTAATCCTAGCGACAGGATTGCGCGGGTGTTACTTCCACACTAAACTGGATGGGTATAAAGTCTGACGCCCTTCGAAAACATATTTACGTCTCGTCACGCCCTTTCTTTGTTCCGCTGACTCACCAGCAGCGTAGTCTTATTGCGATACCATGGAAGACTCGCTCAACATCGTCTTCATCCTCTTTCTCAGGCGCAACTTGTCCTATCTCGAAGATCCCGCCTACAAGAAAACAAGGATGTGTGGAAGGGTCCTGTTCGCGCGGTGAAGGGCAACAATTGGATGATGCTGACGACTAAGCGTGAAGATGTCGTTCAGAATCTGCCGAGCTTTGAACTCGTGGAAATCATCTACGGAGAAACGATGGAGAAAAGACGTAAGGTCGTCTCGTTCAGGAGAAGATTGAGGTCCGAGGGTCAAGAGGTCTACGGAAAGACTTACAAAGTGGGCGGTCTTGCGGATAGAGCGATCCGGTTTGACGAGGCGATACAGAAGGCAATCATGTCTGCGAAAGATCACCCGAGGGTCATAAAGACTTCCGGAAACACCATTTGGGAACCGATTGGTCCTCTTCATGGGATGGATGATCTTATGACGAAGTTTTTCCCTAAGACCACTCCACTACCATCGAGTCGCTACCCCGAGACTTCCGTAGACACCCCCGGGTCTTCTCACCACCCTCCGACGTCTCTCACTTCGACGACGCCGATCAGCGCACCATCAGGCTGTCCGGGAACTGACCAGATAACGAATCCGGTATTCTCCTTTGGAGTTTCCATTGAGGATTACATCTCCCAGTTCGGGACAGAAACAGGTGGGATATGGCGGTAAAACCACTATGACGCAACACGAAGGCAAGCGCGTAAAGTGATACAGACCCATCCCATAGAATCTCTGCACCTCGCAGGCTTGCTATGTTCTCAATTTGTCTTCATATGTATAAATATGTATAGTGAGGATTGCGAACATATTGATGTCAGAATGGACGACTCACACCTGTGGCAAAGAGAAACTGATTCTGCAAGTTGATGTGCGAGTGTTTCTGAAGCGAACTCGGATCAACTACCCGGAAGCTCTGAGGCGTAGAAAGCAACAACAACCTTTCGGATTGGATGATTGAGGGTATACGTAAAGTATGTCGATAGTTATTCGAGGTCCAACCTGAGCTGACGATTTGTCGGGATGTTCGAAGAGGCGTCGCTTGCAGCAGGATAGATCGACTAGCGCGCAACGACGCTGAAACTCGGCCGGGATCTGGTTCCGATTTAACACGCTCACGGATGTCTGGGGGCTCGTCTGGTCGGATTGTAGGTGCATACTTTTAGACGGATACACAAACCTGGGATTTATAATTATAACCTGTCGAAGGATCGAGGGTGAGGACCGATATGTCCAGACACGAGAAGGGAATGCAAGACCCTTGGCCGGCAAAACCGCTATCAGGTTACGCTTCAAGCTGTACGGTGCCTCGATGACCTCGCGCACGACGATAATCTCTTGTCTATCCCACCTTCCCCAGCGAACGTCTGGATCCTTGAAGGCCGCCTCTTCGAATTCTGCTGTCACATCACAAAGTTCAGCCTCTGGATTGAGGGATATCACCAATCGAGAACCGATTACGGTTCCACCTGGCTTGACAAGTCATTTTGGCTCCGTCACTGAGACCGGGGGATCGACAGAATCGAGGGAGATGTCAGGAGACTGGAGAGACAAATAAAGTGTCTTCTTCTTCTTGATTGTGTCTGTAGCCTTTGTATGGATGTTGCTCGCTGTAAACATTTGCCCCGTAAGGTTGCATCAATGCGATAAGAATAAGCCGACATCGACGCCGAGAACTTGCCCCCCTTTTTTACACAAACACTTCCAGTCACATACGGAACCAAAATCGCTGTCCCTGAGGAAACGATGCGTGTACTCCCCTAAGATAAATTTCCCTCGCGCTTTTCCGGAGCGAACAGAAACAGCGCACTGCCTCCTTCAAGCCGGCTGTCATGTAACGCAGAATCGAAAAAGAAGGTATGCGAGAACGACTCTGATACTTGATGGTCAAATTGGCCAGCTCATACTATTACACCGCGTCACCATCCGGTCTTCTGTCTCTTACGAACAAAAAGGAAAATTCTTCTTTGCTGCGAGCTTCGCCTGCCGGAGCGAGTCATTTCGCAGATTGCTTCCTACAGGAGCCCTAATCGATTTGCTTCCTTTGTGCATATGCGTCATATTGCCGAGCTGTGTCTCGTGTGCCAACCTCTTGATGATCAGCTGGACAAATTTGGAAGCGAAGCCTAATCTACCGATTTAAATCCCTATGCCCCCATGATGCTTACTTAATTTTCCCCCATCGTATGCGCTGTCCATGTGTTTCCTTTGATTCTTCTTTTCAAACCCCGCATTGAAACGTTACATGACACGGCAAGTGTACCTAGAGTACTCGTATGTCAAGGAAGCCCCATATTTATAAAGTACCGGACAGAACCGCCTTCGAAGTCCACCTTTGTATTTAGCTTCGAACCGTTCGGAGCTGATCTCATTGTGGCCTTGAAAATCATGTCCAATACCAGTGAGATCACATTCCTCCTCATATTGAAGCGGAAGGCGAACTGCGAGGATCCTCAGACGAATACAGATCTGTGGTCCGGCCCCGTATGCCACCCGAAGAAAGTGAGGAACCACAACCGTTGGGTCATGCTCACAAAGAAGAGAGATGACCTGATCCTTCCAGAATTCACCATCGAGGAGGTCATCTATGGGGAAAAATATGCTTGGAAAGAATACATGTCTTACTGCAGGTTGACATCAGGTGGTAAGACGCTCAACAATCTGTCTTGGCTCACAAACAGGCTCAAGCAATCCGACAGCGATACTGCGAGCAGTATCCTTCGTGCTCTAGTAGCTGATCCCAGGAACATTGGAATCAGGTACCGTGGGGCATATGATCCACTTGGGAATCTCCACGGACTCCAGGAAAATTCTGAGCGGCTCCCAAAGGATCAAGCACAGAGAACACACATGCCGGTCCAAGTTCCGGATCCGGCGGACTCTCTCATGGCGTCCTTGCAGACGAATGCTGGGGAAAATTCTATCTCGGGGAGCCAGGTTCGTTAATCCCCGACAGGGAAGATACTAGGAGCACTGATAAATCTGTTGATATCGTTCAGTCAAGAGAGGCTCAAGGATCGGAAGAAGTACCAGAAGACGCCGCGCCAACGTCCGATTTGTCCATGACTTCAGCCCCGGCCGTGTGTTCGAGATTGCTTCATGTCGTTTGACAAGTCTGATCAGATCTATCCGGACGAAAGACAGAAGGGAAGCGAGAGCTATATCAGACCTTGTAATCCCGGAAGTAGCCTTGACAGCCAAGCTGAGACTATCCTTCAAGGTGGAGAAGGTGACGTCTGGTGCTCTGCCGATTCACCTGGTGGCAATACGCCTCCTAGTTTCGTCGGTGGATTGAGTACCGCGACGGACACAACAGTAGGAGGATTGTGCTCAGACGATTCTCAATCTGCTATCACACCGTCACCGAAAGATACAGAAGAGTGCTACGAGGATTTTTTGAATGCGATCGTCGACCTGTAGAACTTGCAAGATTTTCTTCTGATTTCTTGTGGCTAGACGAAATGTTAGTGGCAGCTATGTAGATCAAGCCTGGGGACTTGCGTCGTTTTGTACAGGTTGACACTAGACTGCGCTAGAGACACAAAGTACGCACACGAAGAAACATATCTAGATTGCAGAAGTATGCGAAGTTGCAGCGAGTAGCAGCGAGCAGCAGCGAGCAAATACCGCATAGCTATCAAAGAGATGAAGAGTATGAGAACATGTTTGCGCAATGCCGAAATGTGGCTAGACTGTAACTCACAGGTCAACATATGAGTACATCTCATTGATCTGAGTCATAAGGCGTTTCTCATGCGTATATAGTACCTGACAGAGCCGCCTGCAAAACTCACCGTTTTATTTAGCTGCGATTCGCTGGAAGCGCATCTTATTGTGGACCTGTGTTGGAAATCGAATTGGTCATTGCTGGATAGTATGCATGGAGATATAACTACAAGGTGATCTGTTGACGAGGATTGAAAAGAGCTTGTAAAATAAACTGAATCTTGTAGACTGACCTTATGGACTTTTGCGTTGCGGAGTCGACCTGAATAGCCCGACAGCTATCAGGCGGAACAAGCAGCAATAATGTTTCCGCCGAGGATGATTAGCGCTACTGGTGAAGGTGCCGATAGATGTCTAAGGTCCGACTTGAGCTCACAATGATCACGCAATGTTTGAAGAGGATCATCATGACCAGCGCGTAATGACGCTGAAACTCGGCCGCTTTCTCTATCGTCATCTAGTCAGTCCCCCGCCAGAAACATATCGGTTTGCATCTCTTCCCTAATCTGGCTGAGCTATACTTGTCTCACTGATTGCTGAGCAAATCGTGCGAAACGATGGGGAAAGTAAACGAAGCATACTTCAATCGCTGCCTCACACTGGTCCGGCAGCCTTGACTGTCCTTTGGAATCCGGCGAGGCTGACTGGATTAGATGTCTTCCACCCTACCTGTCAATTGCTCAATTGTCAGTCGTCAAGCAGAATAGGAATGTTGCGTTCTGAAGGAGGAGAAATATAGCAACCTAACCATATATTCTTGTGGTGAATGATATGTCCAACACTATCTCTCAGTGGATGTCTTCCTCGATTTGTAATTGGTAATCGATTGACAGCGTTTCCCGACCTCTGTTGTCCGACAAAGATCTGAAACAGCATGGTCGTGCGGAGGGTGACCCAGCTGACAGCCCTGTTGGTTGGATGCTCCCAATTGCACTAGTCCTCAAGCCTGATCATCCGTTCCATTCAAAACATTTGTGACCTTGCAATGCTGTGTATCTTGCCACGCGTAGCGCTCCGTAAAGGACACAATTGTCGTGACTCTGACGGGCGATTGCGACGGTTAGATCACACGGCTACATCAGGGGCCAGTTGTTCCCTCCTTTCACCATCGGTGGCAATCTGTGAATCAGGGTTATGGTGACTTCCAGCAACAAGACCCCGAGGCGTTTGTCACATATACGTCTACGAGGAAGTGTACCCCATCATCTGTCATCCAATCATCTCGAATTAACACCATCCTCTGGAACATTCTTCCCTTATTACACCAACACTGTCACTTACAAGAATGCCCACCGTTCTTTTCATGTTGAAGCGAGACGACACTCTTCACGCTCAGAGATCCTCGGCATCATCGCTACGGCTGGGAGGCAATACCTGGTTGATGTTGTCAGACTTTGCCATCGCCATGGAACTGCCAGATTTGGAGCTTTACTGTGGTATACGTCAAGACGGGGCAAAGAACGATGAGTGTACCTCATATAAGTGCTTTTCTACTACCTACGCCATGCAAACCATCAAAGAGACGGAATTCAGACATATGCTACGTGCCGCGCCTGACGACCTGGTCGAGCAGATTCTTGCTGAGCTGGACTTTTCGTTGAAGGGTTTAGGACACGCTGCTGATCCGTTAAGTCGTATAACCACTGAAGCTACGTCGTCTCAGTCCCATCTCAAAGATCCGGCGATCTCAGTAGTGTCAAGTACCACGATACTACAAACGGTAGCAGGAGACCCTGGAGAAGATTCTGGGCATTTCCACCCGTTCGTGGTGGCGGAAGGTACACAGGAAGGTTTTGAGGCATTCTTAAACGAGATCGACGTGCTGTCAAGCTGAGAGACCTCAGAGTAGGATTGTCTTTGGGCTTCGATCTTAACTTGATGTGGCTAGATGAAGCCGGCAATCCAAAGTTCATCTTCGTGAGCATCCGGCGCGAAATCGAATGAAGCTGCTCTCTGACCCACAAAGTGGTCTCACTGATCTTGCACCCTGATCATGACGCTGACGAGGTCTCCTTTGGGAAATGCGGTACTCTCATCGTATCCTCTCTTTTCCTCTCTGGCTATCTCCCTTGCCTTCCTCCCTCCTTCGGTCTTTCGATCGATGCCGTCTTCAGGTCACTCCTCTGTGCCACCTAAACCGAGGTTTCCTGGCCGTCCTTGACTTGTGATTACCGCATCTATAATTTATTGTCTCGCTGATGAATTATAGTTTATAGATCTCACATATCAAGTGCAGAAATGCTCTCGCATAAACGATCGAGGGGTTATGAAAAGACATCTCTTCCGTGATGTTTCATGGATGCACTCCTTTGTTCGCCTTCGCGCCATTTTATAGCAGGCAGTCACTTCCTGGCTCGCAGCCTGACGAAGTGTATTTATACGGACCACGGTTGTTGTAAGCCTGCAGACAGATGATTGTTCGACCTTCCCGCTATACTAACATCGTTCTTTCCCTCAGCAAACAAGTTGAGCAGCTTCAAGACGTCGCAATGAGTTCGAATCACCCAGAAGGAACAGTCTATTTGCTGTTTCTCACGACCGACAATGAGATTCTCGTTCCCCAAAACGGCAAACGCTTCTGGGAAATACCTGTACCCCTACCCAAAACCTCGCACTGGTTGTTTCTCACGAAAAAGCCCCTAGAACGCCCGCCAGATTTTGAGGTCTGTGATATCGTGCACCGGGAGGTGCGTATGGTCGGAAAGGGGAATCGCGTCGCGGTTTTCAGAAGGTGGAACTATGCTCAGGAGGAAGGGGTCCAGTATAAACCGCGAGACGTAAGTCGCAAACTGGAAAGCTTAGACATCGAAGATTATCGAATCATCATGTCTGCTCTGGACAAATGGATGGGTGGAAGTGAGTCCTCGGTCCCGCTGCGACAAAGTCATCAACACATCTTTGGCAGAGAAAGAAAATCGAACGCGCTAAGCCCCAATTTTGTGATATGCATGATATGATAATATGTCTAGATCTCGGGGAGAAAATTGCTGTGATCGACGGTTCCTTCGACGCCCTATCGGAGCGTTCCGAATTTACGGTGAAATCTACCCTAAGGGGTTCTGAGGAGAAATCCTCTCGACAACGGAGAACCCGATCGGCGGTCGAGAAACCTAAGCGGAAGGAAGTCCTGAGACTCGCGCCCAAGTCTCTTGCAGTAAATTTCCATGGGGATATGCCCATGGCTTCTGACACGCTGGACCACTTCACACTCGGCCAGACGCTTAGTCATTCGATGATCGGAACTAGTGAGGTTGAAGAACATGTCATGAGTACTACTCATTCAACCAGTTTCGATAGATCTTGGTACATGCACATGGCTCCGCGCGGTCAAGTCTATGAAGGTTACTCGGTGGACGAAGCAGTTTGAATCGTGATGAAAGCATGTTGTTCTACGAGCACTGTAAGATGATTTTGAACTTTCTCAGCTCTCATGCTTGAGTATGACGCATCGAAGACAAGAGAATGAAAGTCGTTGAGATCCAGAGTGAATGGCTTTCGATGGACATAGTCGAGCGAGAAGGACTAGCGAGCACCTTACGAGAGAGACAGCAAAGCGAGCGTTTTAAGGATCAACACTCGCTCTGAAGCGTACAAGAGATGGTAATACATCATGGTCCGAATCCAAACAAGGGGTCTAGCTGACCAACAACTGGGTCAAGGGACCCACTTCCGACCCGCTTTCCGGATGCCGTTCTCATCGAAGCCCCAGAAAAAGTTGACCTGCGACCAACGCCACCAACCGTCAAAACCTGGCAAACAACACCGTTATTGCTCATCAGTACCCATTCACATCAAGCTGAATGTCACAAACCGCTAGTAAGCCGACTTACCAATGCCCCTTTGATAAGGGTTAGGTACCAAGCCGTTCGTATTAGCGCTGGCCCAGTCTCGCAGTAATTGCCGAATATTCTTTCTCAGGTCTTCTTTGCCCTGTTCGCTTGTGCTAAGGTAACCGCGGTGTCGAAACTTATCAGCGATAAATATGAGGCCAGGACGAGACCGATGCCTTACAAGAACTCCGGCATCTTTCCTGAGTTAGCTAGCAATATAAGATCGTCCTCCGTTTGATCAAGTGTCCAGTCCTTGATTTCTGCCCCATTTGCATTTCGGCCTTTCCTGATATCGGTTTGACGAGGTAAGAAACTATTCGAACGCGTTCCTGCTGTGCACGTCTCTTACCTTACAACATAATAGAGATCAGTCTCGACCGCGCGCTTGTAATAGCTGTGGAAGACTAGCGAGTCTACTTTGTCGCGATTCTCCTTGCCATCCGCTCGAGGAAACTTCCCGTCTATGTACTCCCCCTTGCTGTCCTTAGGGCGTTTCCCATCCTTGCAGACCCCTGAGACCGCAAGAGGCCGCTTATAGTATTCCTCGAGCTGGTTCCAGTCGGCGTTGTCTTTCGTCAACCCTTGTTTCTGCTTCCAGGACCCTGGATAATAGAAGACGAGGGCGCAGTCATCGTCACCCAGCGCGTCGGCCTGTTTATCGCCCCACTGATGCACGGCTTGGACGTTCCAGAAAGTGCCCAAGCTGCGTCCACTCTCCCAGTATTTCTCGTAATCGCCTGTGAGATTCCGCTGTAAATACTGTTCCAGATAGTTCCAGTCGTCCCCTTTCCTTTCTGAACCATCGGGACTGAGGAGTTCCCCCAAGTCCTTTGTTTTAGCTGGAGCAGCGGCTGGGTTGCTCCCAGCTACCTGTCCAGGTATCTGTGCGGAAGCGAGAGGAAGTCCGCAATAAGCCAGTAGGCTTAGGACCGTGATGACCTGAATCAGCTTTGACATGTTGTATCGTCGGTAGCCTCTAAGAGATAGATGGTTGTATATGAGACGAGAAGATTGCCTTCAAGGCCGATGCAGAAAGTGAAGACAAGGATGGGCTTAGTTATTGCAATATGGTATGGTCTGCGTCTCCCTTATATCCACTTCACCTAAACGTTCATGACACATGATGCAGAGCGCCTTTGTTCGAGATAACCCTGATTATTCGAGGGGTAGGCGACTCTAACAATAAGCTTCCTTTGTTACCGAAGGGGCTGTGGCAGTGCCCAGAGATATGCGGATTCTTCTATCGCAGGAGCGTCAAGGACCTGGGTGACGGAACGACATCGTTTAGACTTATCCTTGACGCCCCTGAATATCTCTCCTCGATACTCCTGGAACTCTCGGCGCTCTATCAAACATAGCTCAAGGCTTGTCTATGTCGTCGCCTTTGTGCGATCGCGCCACACGCGCTAAGGGGGGGATGGGGGGGGGGGGGGGGGTCAACGAAGAGTCGCAATCCATACGAGCAAGCATCACGATTGCTCTGAGTTCCTTGACCTGTGTCCACCCGTGAAACGAATTCAAGGGTCTCAACTACAACCGAAAAGGGTGATCATTGAGAGCGGTCAACTAGATAGAAGGCTCACGATGACTCATGATAGAAACACTGAAGAAGCTAGCAAGTCTACATATGCCAACGGGGCAATGACGTATAACCAAACAAAGGGATCCATTTCCGTTTGTCAGATCCTGCACAACCTGCAGACTGTCGCTACCGTCTTTCCATGACATTTTTACGACATGATCGATCAAAGGAGCATCGAGGCGTTACCTCTGCAAGCATGCGGACGCATCGAGCATTCACAGGGTAGCCATACATACACGTGACTGAGCATGCCTTTTGGTGTCGTCCTTTGAGGTGTCTTGGTTCTCGCTTGATCACTTGCCCATAGAGAATCAGATTGATCACTCCAAGATTCTGCTATATAACCTATATAGGAGCATTCCTGTTTCTGGTCTTCATCCGCTACATATCCTGTGAGCTCTAGCATAAAGCCAAACCCCTTTCCCTTTCTCGACTTTGCACGCGTTCCAGCATTATGAGCGACGCCAGACCCGATGTCATCTTCTTGCGAAAAGAGCTTTCATTCAAGGTACTACTCTTGTTCCAAGAAGCCTCTCAAGCGAGGTCAATCCCCAGTACAGGACCTAGCGCGAACGATGCAACGAAGGATTTGGTTGGACGCGTGAACGGTGGTATGCACCTTGTCATGAACATCGACAGTGTACGTGAATGTGACGCCGATCGACGAAGTCATGGCGCATATGGTCAGCATCTACAAAGATACAGGGCAGATCAGCAAGATCCAAAGTCACAAGGCTGACATGAGCTTACGTCTTGCTGTTGGTCTTCAGCCTCGGGATAGGCCTCTTCGGCCGTCAGAAAGGGCAGCCCTTCAGGCAGTACGCGCCACGCCATATCCGGAGAAGATGCGGCCATGAGAGCAGCGTTCCGCCTGAATATCGTTGCGGCCATCGATGAAACTTGACGCATGTCTTCAGCGCTGGCACGATGAATTACGCCAGTCCGAATTGAATCGTCTGCCATCTCCAGCATTCCGCAAACTTCTGGTGAGAGGAGATCGAAGCCAAAAGTAGGCCAAGCCTGAGGGTCCAGCTTGGGATCGATTGTTTCGCCGGCAATCGAGTCTTCCGCCCATCGCCTGTCCTCGAATTGTTGGTCCAATGCAGGCTTTATCCTCAACAACCGTTCGACAGCTTCATCGATTCCTTTCTTCATAGTCAAACCAGGCGTCGCAAAGACGAGATAGGCGGTGGATGAGGTGATTGCCGCTGAAGGGCAGAAGATGGTAACGATGGCCTTTTTTCCATTCGAACGCATGGCGAGATCGTGATTCTACCGGTAGGTGGCCAGACAACACGTCGACCGTCAGCTTACAACTCGAAAGGACCCTCACAGCCAGTCGGATTGATCACTCACCGCGGAAGCGATATCCGGAAATTGGTGAGTCTCCCGCATACCCCATTGCGATCCTATCTTTGTATAGGCGATCGTACCGGGAGCCCACATCCTCAACAGTATTCCGCTGATTGTATCGATATTCCCGTTGGCCTGTTTCGCTAACTGGACTCTAGACTCTCTCCCGTCTGAATCGAGAGACAAGTCCGGGATCGGGATCTGGTTCGGCACGGGATCGAGAGGGTGCTTGAACCTGGATAAAGTGCAGGAGTATCGGATCTGAGGTAGCGCGAAAGGCTCAGATATGGACATCCTTGACCGCTCCAAAGATGCTATGTTGCATATATGGTCCCTTTCGGCAACAGCCGTGATGCATCGTTCGAGAGTCGGGGCGACAAGTTGTTGCCAGCGAGCTGCGCTGACGAGAGACGGGACGGATTCCAGTCTTAGCTCGTTGTAGGCCACTGACGATGGTGTAGAAAAATCTGTTGATCAGACACGTCCATCGGCCACTTCGACTCTCGTCTAGTCAACTCACCTCGAGTTTGAAGTCGACAATGCTGACGCGGAAGGTTGAATGCTTGGTAAGAAGACAAATCCGGGACAACGGGCATAGCAGACCTGGTGAAAACGTCCGACTTGAATCGAGCAGACTATGAGTTGGACCAAACGTCAGCGCGTTGCACGTGGAGTGAATGAGCAAAGGTTCGAGACCTACCAGGTCACCGCTACTCTTGCTCGAGCCAAGTTTTCTCAGGCTAGCAACCTTGCGTATCTTTTTGCCCTCTGGCTTGCTACTCCCTGATTCATACCTGCCGACGCTGCTGGTTCCAACGGAACTCTCAGTGACTTGGATCCCGGCTCTTCGCTTTGCGGTCGGCTGGAGTTGTCCGGAATCCTGTTGTCGCCTCATTCCCGGCGCGCCCGCAGCGTTGCCACACGATGACATGGCTTGATGGGCTGGTGAGATGACTGTGCGACAAGATTCGATGGTCCGTGTCGGGTGCGGATTGCTTATCGAACATGCTTTGTACTGATCGAGGTCGACAGGAGTACGAGTATGTCGAGTTTTCGCGTCGTCTTGCGTTTTGACGACTTGCACTTGTTGTCCTTATAGCCTTCCGAAAGCTGGGCTTGTTCCTTTGAGGTTGAGATCACGACGCGTCCACATGGTCAAACGCGATCAAACGTAAACAAAACCTGGCTGGTGCAATCGGGACCGATCGTGTTTGATCTGATGCGATCAATCCTTCTCGAGACGGCCATCCCTTTGGCTGCTCCGCTCTTCCACCCCCTTCCGTTTGGTTTCGATCACACGCTAATCACGCAAAACGCGCGGGGCAAGCTCGAGCGCAGATCAAACGCGGATCACCCATCAGGTTTCACTTGAGATCCGACGACTGATGGGGCGGTCGCCGCGGGAAGGATCAAATCCCCTTAACCCACGGGAATGCGAGAATCGATTGGACCCAACCCAATACAATCCAACCAGGTCAGAGTAGGCCTGAACATTGAGCATGATCTTACCGGCGTGGTGCGTTGCCCATACGCAAGCAAGATGCGAAAGGCCTTTCCGCGCGTTCATCAATCTCGTGGGCACGGGCGATCGGACCAGTCTCCGGCCCACGCGCACTTCTCGCCATCAAATCGAACAAAAGGGTAAAAGTCGTCTTGCCGAGACAAGGGGTACGGGGCGGGCAGGGGGTGGAATGTGTCTCAAAGCAGTAACAAGGGAATGCGGGCAGGCGAAGAAGAAGGACGACAAGGGTCGTCATCACGATGTACTGCACAACTATATAGACCTCTGCTCTACGCTTTCCGTGCTCATCAAAGATCTCAACAACCCAAGTCGTTGACCATCGGTTGGACTCAGCTTGACCAAACAACTCTCATCTCAGCTTTAGTGATTTCGCTTTTGACGACGTCAGTGGCCAGTGGTAAGGAATGATCAGTTCGATGGTAAAGGAAGGATCAAGCTGACTTGACGGAGCGCAGTTACGACCTTGTTGGCACCTTTCACTGACGCGCTGTCGTACAGTCGGACCTTGAATTACCACTTCAATCGCTATTAGCCTTAGTGAGTCTTTTCGATTTGTCAAGACTCTCATATTCAAGCGTTCGCTGAACCCACGTTGGGCAGCATATTTCCGTTACATAAGACCCTCGCCCGCCCCAGCACGATATGTCGGACATGTCTGCCGAGACCACCTCTACTCGGGACGATCAAGAGACCATTGACCGTGAGTGATTCAAACCATTCCTGCTTACTGCAGTCCACATAAATACTGAATATATCACTTCACTTGTACCCGCAGTCATTATCGGTCCTTGCAATTCCCCTACTAAGGACCGTATCAAGAAGCTTGACAGAGACTCCGAGCTGGACCAGGACCAATATCAGCTCGATAGTCCAAAGGCACGGTCCGCTGCCGACGCCGGGGACTCGTTCCGTGTGGATGAAGTCCATCGCACTGCTGTGGCGCTTGGAGAACACGTCAAAGAGCTTATTGTCAACGCTATTAAGGGGCCTACTGGCAATCGGAACAAGTCTGCCCATCTCGCCATGTCAAAGGCGAAACCCAAAGCGACTCGAGGGTCAAAGCCTACGAAGATGCCGATGCTGAGCAAACTCGATATCGTTCCCGGGACTATACTCTTGCTCGCGGCGGTGAACATCGATGGCGTCCTTTATCCTCCGAAGCTTCCCGAAGGTCATCCACAGACCTCAGCCATCATCAACTCGTACATACCCTTCGTCATTCACCCAGACGACACGATGAAGAAAAGTCGTAAGACGAGGCCCGAATACGTTTACCTTGAGGGGGCCATGCAATGTGGACCCTGTCGTGAACTCGCCGCTCTGAACTGGCCGGGAAGAACCTCGAAGGGTTACCCGGACCCGACCCCACACGTAGGCTGCGTGATCGATGTCAGCAAGATCAAAACACTTGGGGGATGCGGGGAGTGCCGAATCAACGGGAATAGAGACTGCACGCTCACACACAATCCGATCAAAGGGCACTCGGACGTCCCGCTGCCTTTCCCGGCCGAGCAGATGATGAGCGGCTTGACCCTCGCTGAACCCTCTCACAACGAGCTGTTGGAGGCGCAGTTTACGACTGAAGCCGTGCAGGCCACAGCCAAGTACCTAATCGATCTGGAAGACGCCAACGACGAGATCGCCATCGATGGGAACATCGAATCCATTCTGAAACTATGGTTCCAGCTCGCACGGCACAAGGATTATAACGGGACGCCGGAATACCAAGATTCGATGGCGGTCTTGAACGATTACTTCTGCTCCGATGACCAAGGGGATTCAGATGGCACGGACGATCTTGATCCTCAGAACGGTACGGGTACGGACGTGCAGAAGGATATGCACCGACTGCACGATACGGAAGGAGAGGAAGGTGCCGAAGACAGGGATTCCGAGGGCGGTGTTTCATCCATTTAGGGTTAGAGCTTGCGATTTCGAGGTCTCCAGTAGTGACTGCAGCGGCGGGACATATACGATTCCCATGCTTTCCTGCTTGCGCTGCGTTCCCTTTGCTTCTTCCGTATCGCACTTTTAACCGAAGTTGCAGTCTACTGAGAGCAGTACTTGACATACTATGTATTCTCGAACGCGCGCAACCACTTGGGCTGCTGAAACTCTGATTCTCGTCGGGCTCGAACTTAGACATCTTGCAAACGAACGCCATCCAACGCCCATGCAAGAGCTACTAACAGTGTCGAGGAGAAGAGAACAGCGGTTTTGTGGATCATCCAGCTTTGAGCGCGTCAAGTCTCGCTGGGATTACTACTACATGTTGTGTTTGTACATTATTTTTGTAAAACTCTCGTCACTCCATCGCTAAACCTTTCAACGGCGGCTTGCAGATCAGGAGAACGGTCCAGAATACTATGGTGAGCCAGCAAGATGGCGCCAAGCAGAGTCGCGGACCTCTCCGCAATACGGCGACCAACAAGACTCCCTTTTCCCGTCCGCGGTCCTGTCGAGTCTGCGCAAAAAAGCGCATACCGCAACACAGACCATGTCCAGCTTTGAAACGTCGCCCACAGAAAGGATACGATCAATTGTGCTGCCGATGGCGGCGTTCATGGCCTCGTCTGCGTCAAGCACAACAGCGATGTCCATCTCGGTTTTGAATACGCTCTCGAAAGGCTCTAGGTTTTGCTCGAACTCCAAGATCCACTCAAGATGATCGACTTGTAGACGGGCCGTGTACCATCGGATCGCCTCGCGCAGCTTGAACGCATTGACAGGTGCGGATTCGGCAATGGTCTTCACTGGCTCGATGAAGCGTTTGTTTATGTGTGGCTTTTCGTAAGCCAAACGGGCATGTTCGGCAACTGCGACAAGTCGCTGAAGATGCCCGTGAAGTTCTTCTGACCAATGGATATAGTCACCTTGCCTGATGAATTGCTGAGTCCATTTCGGCCCGTCTACAGGGCCGATATCCCTGAAGAACGCCTCGATTTGGGAATGACGATCGTTGCGCGTCCTCGCCGCTTGAGACCCTCGACCCGTCGCAAGAATGTACTTGCAGATGAAATTAGTTGACGAATCCGAGTGTTTCATACCCAAGGATTTGATAAAATCGTGTGTCCGCCCTATTGCCAGGCTGTCGACTTGATGTGCAACAGTGTCGGTATCGAAGTCCCAAGGCCTCAAAGTGGCCGAAGCTTTGATGCATTTGATGAACAAGACTTTCGACTTTGCGAGCGCTTCTTTGACTTTTTCCCAGTCTCGGTTCGCTCTCGAAACGATGGTGGCGACTGCCTTGCTTTCTGGCGTTCTTTCGTCCACCAATAGCTCCCGGACTCGGCTGCAAGCCTGAATGACCTCTGGTATTTTGGTGTCGCGATTCTCGGCAGGGATGTCTCCATGATTGTACAGTACGGAAGACCCAGACAGGTGGTTGACCATCATCGTATAACTGCCTGCACCAGCTGAGAGCAATTATGACAAGAAATTTGGTTTAGCGTCAGCGCGACCCGTGTTAGTGTGCGAGGCGGTATACAAATCACTAACTGATGCAGAGTCTCGGGTCTTCCGCGTCATCCGTGTCCGGTTTGAACCTTTTCTTTTCCCTTTGACGCTTCTCGCTCAACCACTTTGTCAACCGCTGTTCGTCGATCTCTCCTCTCAACAGGTCCATCAAGTTGTCGAATCCGTCGGGAGGAGACCTGAGCCGAGACTGGCCCGGCTCATCGTTCAAGCACTGCGTTTGCTAGGGGGTCAGCAATTCGTCGACTTGATCAAGTCAAGGGGACATACATGTAGGGTGATGGTCTCGTACTAGAATGATGATACGGGATCCGGAAAAAGGCCTGATCAGTCATCCGGATTGTTCATAGAACCGACTGGCAGACAACTCGCCTCTTGCTGAATCTGCAATACCAAGACACAACATCGAGTCGATCGAGATCAGCCGGTGTCGTCGCGGTGTCGTCGCAAGATCTGCTTCGAATCGCGGCCCAGACCGACCTTATCGTTCCACTGGTTGATGATCAGCTGAGCCAGTCGATTGATGCCAAGAACCTCGGAGCCACACTGTTGACAAGGAGCAATCAAAGACGTTGGCGCGTTGTGTGGGGCCATCACATCGAGACATCCTGGCTTACGATATCAAGAAGATTGATGACAAGACCCGTCTCCTGGGACTTCTTGTCCTTGTTCTTGGTCCAAAACTAGTCCGATAACCACATTCCGTATTCAGGGTATCAGTGAAAGAAAACAAGTTGACTTCGTTTGCTTGTTCAGGCCGCCGACTCACGGAAAAAACCCGGCGGTAGAGATTTATACTGATTTGCAAAAGTTTCGACCTAGTATCGGCTGGGCTTGTGTTGGATGGGACGAGTTCGAAAGCTGTTGGTATCCCCAATAGTTCTTTGGCCTTGGCTACCCACACATCGTTGGACCGTCTCGAAAAGAGAAGGAGAAGAATCGCCGCCAGTACGTCCCAAGTCTGTGCGACTATAGATGGGGGCTTTCTTTGGTGCATGGCGGTATTCACCCGTTCGTACCCCTGGGCCGCTGTCACTTGGTCGTACTTGCCCTTGAACGCATCTTGAATGGAGTTCAAAGCTTTGTGGCCGTGGGCCAGAAGGTAGTAAAATATATGAAAGCTCCGCTCTGGGTCATCCTTTTTGTTCGGATCAGGACATAGGTGTCGAAGTCGAGAGCCTTCAAGGATAAGACATTGTATTGTGGACCGGACATTGCTCGTTCCGATATCCTCGACCTAAAGTACGAAATAATGCACGCGAACGTTCAATCGTGAGAAGGGCTGAACGCGATTTTGATAGCAGGGACCCCCACTCACCTTGATCAGTTTTCCGCATCGACTGGAATCCGTATTGTTCTGGGTGGCAGCGTTTCCCATCGCCTCTACGATGACCAGGTCCCTCTCCAAAACCTCGACCACGTTTTGCATTTGTGAGTCGGCACCGCTTGAACACTCCGACGTTTGTGGCGCAGAATTTTGCAGCTCGGAGTTGGTATCTCGTCCCAGGATCAGGCGAAGGACGTGTTGAAGGATGGTGGTCTTTCCCGAGCCGGAAACTCCCGTGGCTATAATGGTGTAGGCCATCTTTGACGACAAGAGAGCTTGGTCGTTATCTAAAGAGGATGGGTTGGGATCATCTCGATTACTCTTCAAACGTTCGGTCTAGAAACTTCTCCATGTATTCTCTCCTGTCATCCCAAGAAAAAACCGGGAACGAATGGATCGGCACGAGATGAAAGAAAGAAAAGTCAGTCAAGTAACGACTTTCTTTCTGGTAGCGAGGTGTCGTCGGGTCAGGCTAGACTGGGGGACTCACAGAACCTCCTCACTCTTAGAAGAGATAGTCCCTGCCTGGATTCCTCCCGGATTGACCGTAATTAACACATTGTTCCCAAGCTCGTGGTAGATTTCGTTTCTGTCGAAGGACAATTTCAACGAGGCGGAAATCTCGCAAGCCTGACGGGAAGGTCGATTTTCCTTGACTGGGTTCGTTGAAGAAACCAATGTTAGGTCGCTTTCGGACGATGAACCCCCGACGGCTACTCACGTGTCTGCTTTGCCAGAGTCATCTGGCGTAGAGAGTCTTGCAAGTTTCTTCACGTTGGGTTGTTTGATGTCGGATAATCAGAGAGCGCTAAAGCTGCAGATAGTAGGTCGATTTGAATATCTCTCAAGCAATAGTTAGGGACAAGTCGATCGCATCCCCTTGAAGTCCTTGTTGGTGTTATACCCAGCTTGTCCAGCGGGCGCCTACCCATGCTGATGTCATAGAAGTATGAAGTTTCATTGATGGAGGGCATGGGGCGAGAGGATGGCAGAGAAATGTTTGATGATGAGGGGCAAAACCCAAAATCCAAGCGGGATCGGGTGAGATTTGATGGATCGCCGTGAGATCCAAGCCCATCTCAATCGGGAGAGGATCATCAAGTTGATCGGGCGACAACGGGCAACGGATAGTCGCGCATCAGACCCCTAAGTCCCCCTCGCCTCCCTTGCCGATCCTCACGGCTTCTGTGATTGTGGAGCGGAAGTCAGATTCGCACATCCGGGCCTTCTATTTGATTGCGTTTCATCTTGACACGCGAGTGCGAGGGGTCCTTTTGATCAAGCTATCAAGCGTTCAATCGCCGGAACCCGGGCCGCGCAGGGGTGAAGGGGGAGAAGCTTTGACACAAACTCGAAATTGAAACGGGGTAACCCCTGAATGGAAGACTCCTCTTCAGCGCGCGGTCGATCGAAATTGAAACGGGGTAACCCCTGAATGGAAGACTCCTTTGAGATGGAGTCGCGGGAGACAATCAACCGGACGATCAAGGGCTTCTATCGTGGATCGAGGTGTATGCCCCACATGGTCTCTCCGCGCTCCGAGATGACCGGAAGATCCTTAGAAGGATCAAAGCCGATTGTCGATCCGTGATCCCCGACATTCCTCTAGTGGAATATATATAGGTGGTCACCACGTTGTGCGATCCGTAAGTTATAAGTTACCCTTCCCATACTGTCATTTACATCTTCCACCTACTTTCCGATACCACTCCCTGTACTTACGTAAGCTTGACTTCACGCCAAGTGAGCAAAGTCTTTGCCAAGAGTCATCACCGCGTCAGATTCTCATATTGGCTCGCATCATCAGCATGTCCGCCCCGAACCCCCCCGAGGACAAGGTCAACACGAACCCTGCGACTCCCCTCAAGCCCGACGTCAGGTATGTTCGCACCCCACTTGCTTCGATCGTCTGTTACCTACGTTAACATATCTTGCATGCTTTCAGTTCCCGCATTGCGAAACTCAAAGGTCACGTCAAGCCCACGGCCTTTAACACCCCCGTCCGCCAGTGAGTGGTGTTCTTTCCATTGCCGCCTCTTGCCTTCGAACACAATTGACATCATATCACATAAACAGGGGGATGCTCGAAAATGAAATTGTCACGAAGAAGGCAGGTTATTGGAACGGATTGGGAGATCCTCCTGGAGAGAAGGTGTCCAAGAAGGACGTCAAGACGGGCCTCGTTGACAAGAGGGTAGAGGAGATCGAGAAGTTGAAGTCTGAGTAGAGGATGATCTTGGTTCCCCGCCATGTAGATGCAATCTATGAAGATACATCATGTCTCGCTGACGATATATGGGTCGCTGTCTCGACCTTCTGTCTCGCCGATCTCTGACCGGTGACGAGAATGGAAGCGATCACAAACATACTCGTACATATCAACAGAAGCCTGAAACGATCCGCCTAGTATACAGCTCAGTCCATGATATCTCTGCCAAACCTATCGGCGACAACTTTATCGATCTCCCGCCGCTGCCTCAACCTGTCAACCTCCTTCTGCGTCTCATGGAGCTGAGCCAACAACTCTTCTCTAATCTCCGCGTCTACTATAGGTTTGGCTCGTAGTCGGTCGATGTTCGCTCTGCCTGAGACAGCGGCTTTGACTGGGGCGGATTGTTAGACCCTGCATAGCCTGTTGAGGGCATGGTTGGCTGACTGGGAGACTTCGAGCTGTCTCTCGAGGCGCTCAACTTGGAGCTGTAGCTCATGAATGCGTCCGGCCTTTTGACCGGCTGTCATTCCCGCCGTAGCTGAACGGAGATCAGCCTCATCGCCGACTGTAAAGAGGCAGCAACAACGTTTCGTCAATTGTCTTCAATGAATGTGCATCTCCAGTCGAGGGGTGTATTACTGACCGTTTAGTTCCCGCCTGGCACAGGGTGATCGAGGAACGACCTCCTCCCTCGAAGTGACATCCACTTGACCGTGACCATCGTCGGAATTCGGATCGGGGGTGGCAAATGCTATGAGGAATAGCATGAGGAGGTGGAGTTGGAGCCCGAGGTACATGCGCAGCCACATGCGCAGGTACATACGCATGTGCATGTGATCCCAGACAACAAAAGTTGTTGACGATCGACAATTGCGTGATGTTCCCGCTTATGACGAGACCGTTAGGAATCCCGAGCTCGTCTATCGCAATCCCGAGACCGTCTGTCGAGTATTTATCAATGTATATTGCGATACAGCCGCTTCCACCAAGGTGGTTATGACATCCCTTTGATGGTTATTGTGTGCTCACTCTTGAGAAATCATATAAAGCGACGAGGACAGGATGACTGCGGTACAACACGCTGCGAGTTTGGACAGATACCGTAGGCATTCGCTACCCCCGATACAGCTACCGAATATGACCGATACCTCGAAAAAAGCCAGATTGCTGTTGATGGTCAGGAACACCCAGCCCACGGTAGAGTCCTTTCCACCGGCCGACGCCGTGATTGATATCACAAAACCTTTCCGATTGGAATATCCAGCCATCGAGCAGTGGGCAGTACTTGGCGATATGTCTTCGGCAGTGCCTAGCGGGTTTCGGCTGGGAGGACGTATCGAACATGTAGTTGGCGATACTTACATGCTCGACGCGGTCGGTCACGTTGTGCCGTATGCCTGGAGCGTCTTGGCCACAGCGTTGGGTATACCACAAAGCATCCAGGGCCGTCTTCAAGAGGTCTTGGTACCTTCGCAGGGCCTCCCAGTCCGATCATTGCCGGCAAATCGCCCGAGTCCAGGGAAGCCACTACGATTCCGGAAAATCCTTTAGACACGCCCGCTAGCACAGTCCAACACAGAGGCCTCACTTTCCTCAATAGCTGGCAAAGCGCATTTGAGGTACCGAAATGCGGTGATCCACGATCCAAGGCACAAGCGTCGATATCCGTCTTGAGGAAGGACGGACGCTCCGCCGCAAGCAGCCAAGCAATGAAGCGCGGCGACCTCAGTGCTACTGAGCAAGCAACATCAGATTCGCCGACGCAGACGGCCTCTCTTTCGACGACCGTACCCTATTTTCCAGAGGCGAGTGGATACGTCCTGACAACCAATGAGCCTCGTGAAAACTGAATCAGGACTTTTGCGTTGGACAGAATGAGACCCGACGCGCCAGACCCGGATCGCTTTCCCAATACATGGGCATCATCGACTTTACGCACCCAGGCGATGTCGGTTCGATCCAAACATCAAACGAGGCGAAATCTTGAGTCAAGCTACTCTCGAAGGCAAGGGAAGGGAGGATACAGATGTGCTTGGGAAGAATCGAGAGCAGGCTTAGGAGATCCGGTCGGAAGTATCAGTTGACTGGTTTTCAGCAAGCCCGACCGATGTTTTATGGAAGTACATCGCGAGAAGGATCGCGTGTGGGTGAACGCGATGGCTTTCACTGAACTTCATGGGAAATCAGACAAAAGGTGTCAACTTCCGATGGCTCCGTTTCATGGGCTCGTACAGTATCTGTATTACAGTCCACGCCAATCTGCATTGTAAGCCTTGAATATACTAAACAGCAATAGCGGCGGCGTTCATAGCCTCAACAGCTGCAGTCTTCCTGCGCTTGTTGGCGATCGAGTGGTCGTGATGCGAATGGTCATGCGCATGTTTGTGCTTGGCAGTATGCTCTTGTTTGGCAGCCGGAACCTCGTCGTGCTCGTCTTCGCCTTGCGGATCGAGCCAGTCTTCCCAACCATCTGTACGGGCATCAAACGAATCAGGTGCGGCACGAGTTCTTGATCGCAATTGCTACTTACCCTCGAAAGTTTCGAACAGCTTCTGATGCTTCTTTTCGGTTTTACGCTCAGAGTTCATGATCTGTCGCGCAAGGGCTGTATCGGTACTTGTTCATCTATAGATTGCTAGCGTGACTTACCTTCTCCCACTGAGCCCATTCGGAATCGGTCAACAGAACCTCGTTCAAGGTTTTTGTGATCAGATCCTTGTCAAGTTCTTGTCCGATGAAGACAACTGAACAAAGAAATAGGGTCGTGTCAATACCCCCTTCGGGTCGATCGCGCGTACTGTACCCCAAGCTGAGACAAACTCACGCTCTTGACGGCCTGCGATAGTGCAATTCAATGAGCGATACCACTTATGAAACAACAAACTCTTAAGGACTCACGATCTCCCCATTTGCCATAGAAGTCCTGCTTGATAGCTTCCTTAGCTCCTTCCATCTCGGCAAGCGGCCAATCTTCCTCGGGCGTGGTGCAAAACCACCTCGATCCACCCGCCATGGTGAACATGATACCCGCTTGCGACCATTCGCCGTGAACATCCGGTCGGGACGCCAACCAGATGAACCCTGAGGAGCCAATCGCCATCAACATTCATGCGTGGGCTTATAATCCTAGAACTGGCTAACCTTTGCTTCGCAAGAGTCCCTTCCAGACGGGAGACTCGCGCTTGACCTTGGCTCGCGCGGGCAAGTCCAGCGCAGCCTTGTCCGCCTGGAGCTGACGCAAAGTCTCCGCCTTGGCCTTTTCTTCATCGTACATCTCTGCATCTTCGGTTTCGCTCTCAGCATCTCCAGTGACTTCCATCTCGGCGTCTGCATCGCTGTCTTCATCTTCGTCGTCGTCCTCGAAGGTGGTCTGCAAGATAGCAAACGGCGCCGAGACGAGGTCCCAGAGTCGACGCGGATGGAAAGGTCGTCGCGCTTGGTAGACGAATGAGCCGATGCCATATCTGCCACGTCAAGCAGGTCAGTAGTCGTCCATGTAATTCAATTGGGCTTAACGATTTCGAAACACTCACTCGAGAGTTTCCGGCTTCGGGATCATCCTCGTCACACCATCAGCATCCGTGAAAGGGACCTTGCTACTCTCCTTGAGGGACTGCAACCATCCCGCGCCAGTAGCAGCCTTTTCGAAATCGAACGAGCGCGTATCTAAGGAAACAACAGACTTGTAATTCAGTCGAGACTAGTCTTTGGTACGAGAGTAATCAAGAGGCCGTACTCAGCAGTTCTCTGAGATCGACCTTGGAGTAGGTTGTTCGCAGGATCTTCGCCGCGGGGTTCAGGGTGCGGACGAGGTTCTCGATACTGCCAACTTGTTCTTTCGAGACCATATCAGTTTTGTTGAGGAGAATGACGTTGGCAAACTCGATTTGATCGGTAAGACTATAGTGTCGGCAGTAACACGTCTTAGCCGAATAAACGAAGAGGTAACAAGTGAAAAGTTCAAGCGCGACTTACAGATCGGTAATGTTCCTCTCATCCTCCGGTGTAACCTCCGCGCCATGTCGATCCGTCAAGAAGTCCGTCGTGTCGAAATCACTCAAAAAGGTCGTACAATCCACCATACTAACGCAAGTATCCAGACGAGCGATCTTTGATAATCCTCCTTGGGCGATGAGCCGGGCGAGACGTTTACGGGACTCAGGGGTAGATTTGGGGTCGGAGGGGTCGGTAGGAATAGACGCCTCGATTTCGGCGATTTCATCCTCGTTGTCGATGGATTCGGCGAACTCTTGAGTGAAGGTTTCGGCGACCTGTATTTGAGACATTAGCGCAGTATTGGGAGCTGAATGAAGCGCCAGGATAACTCACCTGGATTGGCTCAGAAATACCTGAACTTTCGATGATCAGGTAGCTTTCGAAGAGAAAAGAAAATGTGTCAGTACCAAAGCTGAAACCGAACCTACAGAGATAGAATGACCGACTCGAAAGACCCCGCCTCAGCTAGGTTGGCCACCTCTTCCAGCAAGTCCGCGCGGAGCGTACAACAGATACAGCCTGCCGACCGTATTGTGAGTCTCGAATTACATGCTGGTCATCATGACCTGCGACTGGGGAGAAGGCTTACCGTTCTGCATTTGGATGAGTTTCTCTTCTTTCTGGGTGAGTTTGTGGTTCGAGATCAGGGAAGCGTCGATCTATGCCATGACGCACGCGCCGGAAGTCAATGGTCGATCTCGTTGCGGAGCGGGAGGAGATAGACCGAGCTCACGTTCAAAGCTCCCATATCGTTAACGATGACAGCGCATCGCAAGCCATGGTCTTTCGACTTGAGGATGTAGGAAAGCAATGTCGTCTTGCCAGATCCTAGGAAACCAGAAAGAAGGGTGACCGGCAGGCGCGTATCGATGGGCGAGTCTTGAGCCGCGAGTACGGGCGTTTCAGGTGTGGCTATGGGCATATTGAGCGTGATTTTTGGTCGTGGGGGGGTCGTGAATGAAGAGTAAATTTTTGTTCTCGCAGTATATAGTAGCCCCGCGATTTTGAGACTTCGTCCTGGTTATCTCTTGAGCACACATATATATACTGGCGTTGGATTCGAAAGACCACCGAGCGACCAATCGCGCGTGTTCGAAAAAACGGTGACCCTATCACCGCGCCGCAGTCATGTTCATGCCCGTCCGTCAATCATGCATTCGACAGACAACTCCTTACTCTTAGTATGTAGTATTGCTTAGCGTCAATAGCGACTTTTGCTAATTCGGGCTCTCTGACTGGTCCGCAACACCCGTCTAGAGGTATGGACGCGGTGATGAGGACTTTCGCGGTCAAGGGGACGATCCCCGAAGTCGCGCGTCGATTGTCAAGCGCGTTTCAGACGAAGTTTGGGGGGCCGGCCCCCGAAAGTACGGGGCGCCAATTGGACCACTTCCGTTTGCTCGTAATCGTTTAGTCAGCAACGTTTAGTACACAACGTATACTCGTTACTCGACAGCGTTTAGTCCTTTACTCGACATCGTTTAGTCCTCTACACTACAACGTTTACCTCATACCCAATATCGTTTACTCCCTCATACTGTTTTCATACATATACCATACGTAACATATTCAAGTCGGCCGACCGGACCCAACATGAACGCTACTATGCAGATCCACTCCACTTTCTCCGTACTAGTCTTTCTCCTTCACCACCATCCCGTATTCCCACCATAGCTATGTCTACTCAAGAAGCACGACTCCTGTTCTTGGCTGATATCGCCTATACTACCCACCACCCTGCTGTCGAATACCTCCTCTCGCCACCTCATCAAAGGGACCCATTACGCATATCGCCTCTGATCTCCTCTCTCGACGAATTCCTACACTTCCTTACCCTCCATGTCTACAGCAAGATCTCCAAGCAGCTCTACGCACACTACTATCAGACTACCTCACACCTTCGAGAACAGCTGATCTCGGTCGAGACTTCCCTGGCTGCGCGAACGTCTCGAGCTTCCCAACCGACAGGCGGCCGACCTGTCGGTGGTCGTTCGCATGCAACCCCTATTGACCCTGTCAACCTTGAGCAGATGGTACGCCTCGGATTTACGGACAAGCAGCTCGGCTTGATGTTCGACTGTCATTCCTCGACTATCAAGCGTCGGCGTCGCACTCTTGGACTCATGAAGCAGGAACCCAAGCACCGATTGTCTCGGGCAGAGGTGGAGCAAGCTATTCTACAAGCGATTGGGGGCCAGGACGAGACTACGGTAGGAGCGGTCACTGTTTGGGGCCAGCTCAAAGCCTGGGGCCTCTCGGTAACACGAGCCGAGGTAAGGAGCACCTTGCAGCAGTTGGAGCCAGCAAATCTTGCCAGTCGTACCACGCATACAGTACAACGACGAAGGTACCACGTACCGTTTGTGAACTCAGTCTGGCACATCGATGGTCAGCACAAGCTTATCAACTGGAAGTTTGTGATACACGGTGCCATCGATGGCAAGTCACACCTTATTACCTGGCTTCATGCTAGTCCGAACAACTTTGCCGAAACGGTTGAAGGGCTGTTTCTGGAAGCCGTAGATCAGTGGGGCTGGCCTAGCCGTATTCGAGCGGACTACGGGGGAGAGAATCTTGGGGTGAAAGCGCATATGGAGAGGGTACAAGGTACGTTTTGTGCATGCCACTTGATACCAGACTTCACTGAGCCTAACTTATCGCCGACTGTCGGCCGACAGGTCGTACAAGAGGTTCATTCATGCAGGGTCGCTCTGTACACAATGTACGCATCGAACGCCTCTGGAGGGATGTCGGCCTGAAGGTGACCAGGAAGTACGCACGCACCTTCGAGCTCTTGGAGAAGTCAGGCGTCCTTGACCGCAACGACCCAATACATCTATTCTGCCTCCACTACGTCTATCTTCCACAAATCAACTACTCTCTCGATCTATTCCGAGATAGTTGGAATTACCACGGGATGAGCTCAAAGGGACTGGGCGGTGCTAGTCCTATTCAGCAATGGGTGGGAGGTATGTTTCTATCTCCCTGCGACGAACCTCCGAAACTTATTAATTAAACAGTACTGAATTGATAAATTTAAATGTCTTTCGTCCCGAGCAGGCCTACTAGACGCGAAAGCGGCCGGCTTTCACATCGAGCTGTCACCGGATCTACGTTACAATGAGGACGAGGACGAAGCATTCGCTCTAGGGGTAGAAGACGATGTTGTGGAGCTACCACCTCGACCGGAACATTTGCAGCGCGACCAAAATACCCATTGCCGTTCATCAGCAATCGACGCCTCCCTATTCCTGGACGACACTCCTGTGGTCGAGCAAAGACGTCAGCCTCACTACGAAGACCCTCACGTTGTGGTCCCGCAGTTTGGGCGGCACGTTCCTCAACAACTGTTCGACAGGGAATTTCAAGACGAACTCCAAGCCAAATTCCCGTTTGTCGCGCCAATTCTCGGGGAATTTGGCGAAGAACGTTACATAGCGGTGCTAGACTTCGTAGAGACCTTCTTACAACTGCTCACCGAACCTGCTACCGTGTGAAAACCATACATGGCCCTGCAATGAATAGGTATTTTCGAGTTTGATGATGATGTCATTGATGACGATAACGCGTTGTTTGTTGTTGTGTTTCACGTTTCAGGTTGCTCGCTTAGGCAAACTAGGTTCTCAAAGGACCCTCTCGTTGCTGTTGTTCTGTTCCTGTCGCTTACATCAAAGAACAACAAAGAGAGAAAAAAACTGCTGACGTTCTAGTCGATTCCCTTATAGGTAAATACCCCTGCCATCGCTTTCAAAACTCCGACGCCTTCAACTCCCCGTATTGCCCACCTATACGAACCTACTACCCTTCATACAATCCTGAAAGTTCTCCAAGAATCGCCATGTCAGACAAGGAAAACGAGCTTCCGAGCAACAGCGCTCGAGGGGAGGGGAGTTCGAGAAGGGCGGGTCGGCCGACTGGCGGTCGTGAGTCGGCCTTGGGTCGTGAGTGCAAATTTGACATCCTTTGAGCTGTTCTGGTTCGTTTTTGGGTGTGACATCAAGCTTCTACACATCGAGGAAGTCGGGTGATGATGCGTAGGGGTGTAGGACGTCCTGCTACGGCGGCAGAGTCATCTCCCGAGCGAATAAGAGGAAGAGGAAGAGGTAGCGGAGGTCGGGGTGAAAGAGGAAGTAGAGGGACTCGTGGGAGGGGTCGAGGTCGACGTGGAGGCGTCCCCCATCGATACGCCAACCTGGATCCCGAGCAGTTCGGTAGCGATGATGATCCTGATCTCCTACAAATCGACGTAGAATCTGAGGATGGTTATGGACGGTCTCCTACCTTTCGGAGACAGATGTTTGGGTCGGTCTCTCCCATACGGAGAGAACCTAGCGAGGAAGTCGATGAGGGACGTGCTCGAGCGGGCCAGGAGATCGCGGCTGCTGTGGCCGATGGGCAGATCAGTGACGAGGAAGCTGGTCTGATGAGCTTAGCGACTCGGGCGCTCTCGATTGGGACGAGTTCGGCGGGTGTGTTTGGTTCTGTTTATTCGCTGTTGTATATGTCACTGATTCAAATGATTGTGTCATTGCTTCTTTGCTATATAGAGAGTAACGGGCAAGAACAGGCGGAGCCCGTTGTCGAAAGGGACCCCGAAGATGTCGGGATGGAGGGTCCTCAACAGGACATCGAACAGGACGTCGATGTGCCGATGGAGGAGGAGGTTGTTCTGGCCGTCAGGACGCCAACGCCAGGCGGGGTGGGGCATGATGATGGAGGGGTGATGGACGAGATGGAGTTGGCTGGGGACGATGGTATGTTCATGTTTCACTTGCTTGCGCTTGTTCATTCCGGCTCGTTTTACTAATGAATAGGATGATTGTGTCACGTAGCCGTAAGCGAGGCGGAAGAGGTGGCGGCCCCGGCCATCTCGCCGGAAAGGAAGGCTGCGTGGCAGAAGAAGTTCGCGGAGCTTCAGGCTTCCCAGCGCCCTCGCTCTCGGTCTCCCGAGCGCCCTCGCTCTCGGTCTCCTGAGAGTCCTTCCCCCTCCGGCACCCGGCCGATCGCCCCTCTTGGGTCGGCGACATCTCCTCGAGCCAGACGTGGAGCTCGACAAGGGTCGGACGATCCCGACCAACGGGAGGAAGGGCAGATCTGGGCGGGGTATCCGGAGACCCGGTCCCAGAGACGACGGGCGAGAATGGAGGAGGAGGATGAGCTTGAGTCGGTTCAAGGGTGTAAGTTAGGACTCATCACATGGCTTTCACCGTTCATGTTGCTTATGATTCCTATTTATTCCTCTATCTACCTAGCTTCGGATCGGGCGAGGCCAACGCCGACGAAGAGGATCAGGAGGGTCCCCGCCCGGAACCCTCTCAGCCCTACCAAGCAGGGCACCCGGGCTGGCCCCGACAACAACACCCAGGCTGGTCCTGGACCTCAAACTCGCGCCAACCGCGCTGCCACCTCGGCCGCCTCGTCCCCGGCCAAGTCTCCTCGCAGGAAGTCCAAGCCTGCCACCTCGTCCCCTGCCGCGACGCCCACCAAGGGTAAAGGTAGGGCGACATCCACCAAGGGTGGTAGGGGCCAGGCCAAGGCTGAGATCAAGGCCGAGGTCAAGCAGGAGCCGAGTGCAGGGACGCTCCTGAACCACGCGGTAAGTGACCGATCCTCCCCGACTGGTCGGTCAAGAGTCGGTGGAGCTGATCTTTGTTGTATGACTTCTCTCAGAAGGCGAAACGGCGCCAAGAAGATCCCGGTGCGGTCGAGTTTCTCGGAGACGAGAGGTGCGACACCTGTCGTAGCCTCGGAGCCTCGAAGGGTGGGGACGAACCGTGGTGGGGTTGCTGGAGAAACCCAAACTCCAAGAAGGAGCGCTCCTGCTCCCACTGCGTGGCGGTTCGTGCGAAGTGCTCGTTCAACGACGAGCCCAGGCACGTCAACCCGCCCGCGGCAGGTCCCAGTACAACTGGGGTGAGCCAGGAGTGGGTGAACGGTTTGGCTGCCCGGCTCGACCGAGCGATCGGAGGGATGGAGGTGGGTCTCGGAGTCCTGAACTCGATGGCCGCCACTGCTCTTGGAGAGCCGGCCAACAACATGTTGGCCGAGCGGATTCAGGAGTTTTCGGCCGTGAGCGCGGACCTCCGCCGTGGTCCCTCTGGGTCGACCGCTGCCGCCGCCATCGAGGTTGAGGCCGACGACGAGGACGACGAGGACGAGGAGGAGGAGGAGGAGGAGGAGGAGGGGGAGGACGAACAGTAGGACCTTGAAGGTCTACGCCTCCGGCTCTTGTTCTTATAGGATAGGTTGTATTCTACCCCGAGAGGGTTTAAGACTCAGATTCTTTCTATTTATTTCATTTTAGATCAAGGATCCTTCGAAAGATATTCATCATCGTCAGCGAGACCCTTGTAGGGGTGGTGGGGGTCCGCTACCATAGTAACGAACGCTCCTGGGGTGGGTGGATGATTGACCCGACCACCGAATGGTGGCGATCGCCGAGAACTTGGAAGGTCGCCAAGAGGGCACGATCGACATCGACATCGACGAGCAAGAAGCATTGCGGGTCGAAGCCGTCGGTGTAGTTTGGCGGCGGTCGTTGAGGGAGTGAACTGCGGGGTGGGTGGAACGGACTCGACTCAGACGACGGGCGTTGGTGAAGACGGCACGAAAGAACCTTCGGTGTCAAGTCCTGGACATCAACAAGAGGTACTTCTTCATATTCACCATATCCCCTAAATCCTCTGTTCGCTCGTTCGACCAGGGCGCATTCTACCTCAGGGCAACACCGACGGCAACACCAACGGTTTCGCGAGCCTGCACCCCAATGTCACCGACCATTGTCTTTCGCTCGGAACCCCTCGCCCAAATCCCCGGCTTACAAGGGCAGTACTTCTTCCAGGGTTCGCCTAATCTCTCATCATCTGTTCTGCATACCCACTTGCGCACGCTCAAGCACATAAACCGATTGCGATTGGTCACGGACACCTATCTGACTGCCGCTTGGACATGATCGGCGCACCGACCCAACGTGACCAAGCGCTACGACACTGAAGAACAAGCACATGGTCGGCCAAGACGTTCCCCTGCGCTGCAGGACGATGAACTTCGCATGGGACGATCAAGGGGCAACTATACAGGCGGCAACGTATGAGTACAACATCCTCGAACGACCCTCAACGTTCGACAACATCCTCGAACGACCCTCAACGTTCGACAACATCCTCGAACGACCCTCAACGTTCGACAACATCCTCGAACGACCCTCAACGTTCGACAACATCCTCGAACGACCCTCAACGTTCGACAACACCCTCGAACGACTCCCTTCCGTTCCCATGTCGACATCAGCATACACACTGAACGTCCGACAACATCCCAGAACTACCCGCCCATGTCGACATCGGCATACACCCTCAACGCCCGACAGCATCCTCGGACCACCCTCACCCTCAACGCCCTAACCCAACGCCCGACAGCATCCTCGAACGACCCTCTTCTCCAGCACGATTCCCTCTCCCCCTCTCAGACGGTCCACTCCGACTCCTACGAATGTTGTTCTGTGAGAAGGAAAGCCCGATTCAGCTCTCCCATGGGTTTCACCGACCCTCGGCCGACTGGCGGGCAAACTGGGGGGGTAGACTCACTATCGCAGCTGCACCTTGGGCGGTAACACCGATTGCCAGTGTCACGGCGCTCACGCCTGTTCGCCAATGTGGCAGGCTCTGTGGCAGGCTCAGGACGAGGGCGACCCTCCTGAGGTCTGGGCGATCGTCGTCGGCGATAGCCTCGTCCCCTTGCAGGGAGAGAGGGAGGAGGAGGTTGATCGACCGAAGGCTCAACTGCAGGCCTGACTGGAGGCGGCAACGGAGGAACCGGACCACTGCGGTCTGAGTACGCAGCTGGACGTTCTTCCTGCGGGGGAGGAACGCCCGGGCCAGAGACAGGCTCGACTTGGTGCGGGATCTCCCTCGGAGGCGTCATCCCGGCTTCTGCTGCAAGACCGAATCCCTCGGGAGGCCCTGCTTGCATAAGGACTTCCCCAATACGGACCTCTCTTGCATAGGGCGGTACAGGATCATTGACATCTCCTTCTGGGTTGTCCAGATTGCCCGACCGGAACCGATTACGGATGTGACGTGAAGCCAGCAGAGGATCACCCTGCTGGATGGCCGATAACGCCCTAGCGCGACTTCCCTCATCAAGACCTTGCAACAGTGCTTGCATATCTCTCAGGGTGGCTTCTATGGCACGTCGTCTACCCCCCAGAGGTTGTGGTCGGGCGGGATTTGCCGCTATCGGCCGACCTGTCTCTCCCGCGTATTGGATTTCGGGAGTCACGGAACGTTCTTGAGGTTGCGCAATTGTCCTGCCAGAGGCGTTCTGAATACTCCTCTGCGCAGGGGTGGCGGGTCCGGGAGAGGGGCTATCCCTGACAGTCCGTTGGCTCTCCTCAATCGGACTTGGCAAACGATCTGGACGGCTATGTTCGGTTCGAGCGACCTCACCGACGACCTCACCGACCGGTCGGTCATCTGGTCGGTCTCTTGCGCTTTGGACAGCCTGCCTGTCCTCGGGGGTGTGAGCTCGAGGCTGGCTACCTCTGGGCGGCTCATCCTGGGACAGGTTGATCAAACCTAAGACGTCAGCGTCGATCGACCGCTCTCGTTCGAGAGATGCCTGACGTCCGTCAAGGTCGAATCCACTCCAACCTTCGTCAGCTTGATCATTCCATCGGTTCTGCCGCACTGCGGCGAGATCCTCTTGTAGGGGACCGGCTAGATCCTCCATGCTAGGAGTCTGGAGTGTAGCTGTAGACGCCAGGGGAGATGGAGCTGGTGTAGCCTGGTCAGTGAAGAACAGTGGCTCAGCGCGATCAACGAAACCGGCAGTCTCGAGGGACATGTCCGCCATCCCTGAAGTTCGACCAGTGCTGCTGGATGTAGAGGGACCCGACTGATGAGCCCTGGGGACCGGCATAGCATCTGGAAAGGCATCGACAAGACGAGGGGTCGGTACCAGCCGGGGAGTGGATGCTTCAGTGAAAACGGACGGTGTTGGTGATTCTCGACCGTCTCGACCGTTCCGTTCAGTGCGGTAAATCTTGTAACGTTGACAGTGACCCGTATGACGACGTTTGGAGATCATCTTGACAGACTTGCCACAGGCGATGCAGGTCCACATGTCGTCATCATCCTCAACGTCTTCGTCCTCATCGTCCTTGCCCGATGCAGTGTTTTGGAGGTTTCGGATGGTTGTGTAGAACTGCCGGGAGGCTACTTCCTCCTGGTGGGTATAGTCCGGGGCGGTGTAGGTGAAATCTCGATCGTTGACATGTCCATCGACGATGTAGGCGCAGCCAGAACGTTCAAACAGGGCCTTTACCTGGTTGAACGAGCTCGACGATGGTCGGCATGTGGCAGGCTCGAACCGATGGCTGTGAGGATTGGTCTTGGCCCAACACCACTGTTCATTGATACCCTCACGCCGGAAGAGCTCCTGAACCGTTGCGGCGATAGCGGAGGCATGTGCGTTTGCAGATATCCAGAGAGGTTTCCCAAAACCCTCAGCAGCCAACCACTCCTTGACCGCCTCTGCACCCTTGCGAAGTGTCAGCCGGTCCGAAATAACAGCCGAGGATTTGAGGTAGTACACCTAGATGCAAAGATCGGTCAGTCGATTTGGAAAGGGAAAGTCAAGTTGACCGACAGTCGGCCGACTCCGGCCGACTCAGGTAACACTGACAATTGTCTCCTTCTCTTTGCAAATTGAGACGGGAGGACCAGGTGTAATCTGTGTTTGGCGGGCCGGAGCTTTCCCTTTGCGGCCACTGGTGAGATAGGAAGCGAAAGGAGAGCCCGGTCGGATGTTCTGGGACGAAGACGAAGCGGAGGAGGGGTTGATTGAATTAAAGTTCTGGATGGTGTTTCGACTAATTCCTGGGGGGGTATGCCCTGGCATGTTGCGGAGCGTTTGCAGAGCAGAAATGGTGCTATGTTGGGGTAGCTGACCATAGCTATGCGGGCTGTGGGTAATGGAAGGAGCGGGAGGAAATCGATTATGAAAAGGACCTGTATTATCATTATTTGCGGTATTATGGGTCGTGCCGGGTATCATGGGGCTATACGACCCTTGGCCTGGTGTAGATGGTAGCTGAGGCGGTCCAGCTTGTCGTAAAGCTGTCTGTACAGCCTGCTGTATAGCAGCGGCCAGGTCGGCCTGACTTATGGTGATTTGTTGATGTGAATCGTTGTGCTGAGGCATGGTAAGGGGGAGCGAATAGAATAGGTACTGAATGGCAGAGTACGTGTGAAGAATCTAGATGTGACTATTGATATGTAACAAGGTCATGAACTGGAGTTGGCCGATGGAACGGCCGAAACGATTGACCCTACATGTCGAGAGGTAGATTGTTGGCTGATGGATGTAGCGTACGTAAAGTTCGATGAAGACGATGTAGAGTAAAGGATTAAACGATGTCGAGCTTGATACTAAACGTTGTCGAGTAAACGAATAAACGTTGTGGGTTAAACGTTGCTGACTAAACGATTACGAGATTTACTAAGTCACGTGTAAAGTGGTCTTTTTGGCGCCTCATACGAAAGTCGAGGAGCGGGAAGGCTGGACGCTCTCGCATCAGGTCTTGCCGCGAAGAGCTTCCAGGTTGTTGCGTATGTTTTCAGTCTCTTGTTAGGCATGTATTGGTTCGGGCTCGCTCAGAGTGCGGCGGCGCGCTTCCGCGGCAGGTCGATCAGCAAAGCCCTCGAGCGCCTGGCAATCCCTCTGATATCACGTCGAGACTCGGAGTCAACAGCCCTTACTGGGATGTAGGGAGCCAAATTGTTTGTGCATCTCGCTGAACCGGACTCGCACGATGTAGCAATCGACCAGTGGACACCGATGTCGAACTTGGGCCGACCCCTGAACCAGACTGCAATTTTCGCAAGGCCCAAAGGCTTTGCGGAACACGTCTGACATCCGGGCATTGATCCTGAGTAAACCCCAAGTCTCGTATTGGTTCGAAACTAGACCTTACTGTAGGATCAACTTGTCTACCAGATCAGAAGCCTTCGGCAGTGTTCTTCTCGTCGCACTGGCTCTTGGGCGTGCGCAGGGCATATGACAATGACTACCGATGCTCAAAAGTAGTCACCCCTAATGAAAGGCAAGCACTGCAAGGTTCGATTGTCCTTGAGAAGTTATGTAGATCACATCATATCAAGAAGCTTGAGACCAGGCTCTGCCTTTGCAGCTACAAGTGGATGGAGAAGCATATAAAGGAGGTGCCTTCCTAAAGGTGCTTGTGGTAGGAAAACCCGCTTTGTCCAGAGCCCATGCGACTGGGTATATAAGAGGAAAGTAGTAGGTAGAGTGGATTGTACCATCACTTTTACCCCTTGCCAATTTTTTACTCCAGGATCACGCAAACCGAGAGCAGCGGCTATTCTTCATACCAAATCAAACACATAGACCAATACAAGAATGTCAAATTCTCAGCAAGAACTAGACTTGGATACATGGTGGCTTCGCACAGACCTAGATGATCTCGCTCTATCAGGCCTTTCAGATACATATCTACCAAGCTTGAGCGACTGGCTGATGGAAGCGGATCAGGATGGGAATATGATGCAGTCACCAGAGGTTGGATATCAACACGGTGAACAGGTTGATAGAGGGTCTATGGGGCTTCAGCATTCATCTGGTAGATGGGGCCAGACCTCCATTACATGTGACAATGCCACACCAGTCAGGTCAATTGCATCTGAGGACAAGCAGGACTTGTCACAGCTTTGTGACGGGGAGTTGGAGCAATTCATGCGGACCTTTGAGCAGGACATAGGATTACAACAATATGAGGGCTTGAGATCTTTACATGAGCCTCCAGTTGGGGAGACAAGCGTCTCTGAGTATGTAGGATCAGGCTATCTTAACAATCAAGACCTCCACCCCAATGATCAAGACTCCACCCTGCAGACATTCGATGCTGTTGATCAGGTCAGCCAAAAATGCCTGACTATCACCACAATTGACCGGCAACGGGGTCCTCGGGAAGTAAGGACAAAAGACAATCTGGACACAGTAGAACCCAAGCAAAAGAGAGCAGTTTGGTTAGCAGGACGTGGAAGACCTCCAAAGAGATGTATCCTGAGGCAGCAAAATGGGGCTGCTTTCCCAGATACAAATGGGAAGTTTGTGAGTGCATTGGCAATGCCAGGTATCAGGAATGTAGCTGCATTCATTGGGTGTCATGGGTCTACAATCAGACGGGCTATGGCACGAGCAAATGAGGATAAGGGCATTGTTCTTGGAATCTGGCGGGTCGAGGAATACAATGAGAATGAAGCAGTCAAGGATGAGGACTTGCTGATACAACTTGAGGAACAGTCCTATCTTGGTCAACAGACTCATCAAGACTCTGTGGTATCAGCAGGGAATCATTGCTGCATTGACGGATCAGAAACAACTCTGAGTGATGTTCATACTGGTCTCAATACTGCAGCTGGCCATGAGCAGAACATAAGTCTTGCATCACCTTCACTCAGACAATCATCTTATCTGTCAGTAGATCCGGTTCAACACTTGACAGCTGCAGGCGGACAGGCTTCAGGTGCTGCAATTGTAGGCAGCGGCTATATGATCGAGTATCCCAAAAGATCACTGAAACCTGGGGCACTTGCAAAGCTATACCTTGTGAGGCGGGCAGACGGGGAGCATTTCGACCATGAAGAGAAATCAGTACCCTTCGCTCTGATATGTACGGACAGGGATGTGCGTGATGTCACAGGCATTAGCCGTGATTCATTGTATCGTGCACAGCAAAACGCTGATATACTATGGGATCCTTGGAAGATTACATACTTGAAGAGAGTGCATCATAGACACCGCTCAACTGAACAAATACTGAGGGAGATTGAGACCCTTGCAGCCCTTTCCAGTCAGCTTGAACCATTATTTCAACATCCATGGCAGGAATACATTAGGAAGAACAGTCTTATCCTGCCAATGCAGAGATCAAACTCAGGCTCAGCAAATCAGCACGAGACATACAAGAGCTCTCATCAGGCCGGATCAACAGTCCTGCTATCATCAGAGGACAGCCTTGTTTCGACCAATCCTATCAATCCTGCTATTGGCCACCAGGCATCAGACCTTGAAGGCACAATTGGTAGTAGGGAACAGGCTGTGTTTCACACCAAGAAAGGGCAAGCGGCATTCCGCTCAGTAGCTACTAGGAAGAAGATGCAGAAAAGTGCAATCAATCACCACCAAAGCATCTCTGACGCAGCTAAAACAAGAATGTTGGAAATACATGAAAAACTTCTTCATGTGGAGCGAGTGGATGGGACTAGCTTTCCATACAATAAGCAGCAGGTATATTTTGCAATCATACAAGGTAGACTTGCTGCTAGCAAGTTTTTAGAATGTAACCTCACTACAATCCGGTACGCTCTGCAGAAGAGGGGCAAAAAGAAGGGCATTCTGAAGAAAGTATGGAGAGTTAAAGACCTAGGCAAAGCGATTCCTTCTGCTTGATTTATATATTTTACTCTACTTTCTGTTATAGGTGTCATATAGAGTGCTGTATTGTATGCATGTTCATGGGTAACCTCTGGCAGGAGTAAATTTTGGGACGGTCGTTATAACATGAATTTAGGCCCTTGTGATAGTTTTACGTCCATCATTACATTTTAGATGTCTACCTATACCTTTCCACATTTTTGCATCTCATCAGCCCTGCCTAGGGCACCCTCACTGGGGCCTGCTTTAGGGCCTTACAGGTACGTTTGATAAAATGACGTGTTGAGAAAGAACTAACACATATTTCTTTGTCATTCTTGCGCAGGTGGCTGCTGTAGATGACAAACAAGCTATATACACCTCCACAGGATCATCAAGGCCTGTATGTTGCTTGAGTAGCATGTTATTCATAGGAATAGGGCCTGAATACAATGTTGCGCCCTCAGACTTTTGCGCCCCACTAGTATATACAAAGTTAAGGACGGCATGTCAACCAGGTCATTCGACAACCCGACGAAGCGCGATCGATGGGCCTAGATCTCGCATCATGAGGATCCGTATCGACGAGGCACGCAGTTGACTCTGTCAAGTCCACCCTATCGCATTGCACATACGACTACGTCCGAAGACGCACAGACCGCTCCAGACAACGACCAGGCGATCAGAAATTCGGCAATTTGCCTCGCAACATCATCAAACCGACCGGATTCCCCCTAGCATGATGAGATGACAGCGATCGATAGTCTCATTTCGGAAAGTCCGAATACATCGAGTAGCGCAAATCACACCCCAAACCCAGCTCCGACCTTGGTCCAGAACCCAACCCTACTCTTCCCTCTTCTTGCTCTTCTTGGCCTTTTTCCTCTCCTCGATCGTTTGTCCAGCCTTTTCCGCCGGCGCAATGAACGCCTCTTCTCGCTGAGCCCGTTTGGCCTCGGTCACGACGTTTTGCTGCGAGTCGAGCGAAACAGGCAGCGACCGATTAGTACTCCATGGAATCTTGATCTCGCGCGTGCAGCAGAAGCGGGACCACAAGACCCGGGAACACGACAGGGCTTACCTCTTCCTCCTTCTTCCGCCTCTCCATCCTCTCCTTGTCTTTCGACTTTAAGAAGTACTCTCCACTCGCCAACTGCATATCCAACTTGCTCGGTTGTTGAGGCGGCGGGAAGGGCGTGTATACCTTTTTCTGCTTCTTCTTCTTCTCCGGCGCTGCCGCGGGACTTGCCACTGAGGGGTCGACGACGGTGTTGGGCATCTTGGAAGCCGTACCCAGCGGGGTCTGGTTGGATGTCGCTCCGTCGGCCGAGTTGCCTTGGGCACGGTTCTTGCGGGCGGTCTTTTCAGAGGTCTTGAGGTTGCGCTTCTTGAACTCTGCTCGTACGATGAAAGAGGTTTTGGCGATAGTAGCGTTTTGTCAGCCATATTCTGTTCGTCGTCGCCGGATCGATTGTCCGGACAAGGTCTCAGTCGACTTCGACTCACGTGGCAAGAACCGGTCCCAACTCTCCCCCGCCAACTTGGGATCCTTGGCAAGTTCCCGCCTGATCATCAACTCCTATATTCCACAGTTCCAACGTATCCTCCGATGAGCATCTTGAAAGAACAAAAAAGGATATAACGGAGACCGAAACCGAGGACTGACCTTTATCCGATAAATCGGATGAACATTCTTCATACAATCCAATACGATCCTCCGAACCTCTTTCAGACCCTTGTATTCGCCCATGCAGGAGACGGTGTTTCCTTGTACGAGGATGTAGCAGTTCGTCAAGAGTTCGATGGCCTGGTGAGGGTTTGCGGAAGGTTGGGTTGAAGGGTGGTTAGCGAAAGATATATAACATGAAGAGGGAGGCGAGGCGGGTGATAGGAAGTAGAACGGAGAAGGGAGAGAAGGAGAAGGAGAAGAGAGGGTGAAACCTCGACTCCGACGAAAAAAGAGCAAAAGACTCACCTTCAACGTACTCCCCCCAGGCCCGACCAACCTCTGCCGCCTCTTCACAAACCGCTCTTTATTCCTGACCAGCCCACCGATCTTGATGACATCACACGCTACGCCATCTTCCAATACTTTCGCCGCTTGAGGTAAAGAGACACCACGGGCTAGGAGCTTGATGAGGTCTCTGGATGAGAGGATGATGTATGGGTCGAATGTTTTCCTGGTGGTTAGGACTGTCATTGTACCGGTTAGGAGGTCTAGGGTGCAGGCGATGCCCTGCGAGTTTGAAGAGATCAAGATTGCAGGTGTATCAGCTTCGAGTCCAAAATCTCGCAACGTAGACTATACTGAGCAACTTGGCATTCCAAGACAAATTCGAGTTGATTTCCGACTCACGTGTTTCCCCAAGACCTTTGTCACAGCACCCCAACTCTCCCTCAAGTACTGTTCCCTATACTTGGGGAAGAGGACGGCGAAACTGCTCTCTTCGGTAAACGGACCGGAGACGTTGTCGGCTTCGGTAAAGGGGTCGATCTTCCAGTGATCGATATCGTCCGTGTCCCATGCTAAATTATTGAGTATTGGATATCGAATTCGACCGGGGTTTACCGCAACACAAGAGTTATATTATGAATATAAGAACGGCGAACGGTTCGCTAGATGAGGAAGAGGGACAACTCACGTTTATCCTTCCTATGCCGCTTGTTCTTGTTCACGACGACTTCTCCACCCTCCTCGGCGTCCTCCTCGGCCTTGCGTTTGCCTTGAGCGTTGACGACCTGGTCGGTGTCCCTGATCCTACCGGTGACGAGGGACGGGTTCGATGGTCCTGCTGGAGCGGACATGGTTATATGCTGTACGTTTTCTTAAGGAAGAGCGGTGTAGCAGCTAGTGATGCTTGCGGTTGTCATAGGTAGATAGGTAGATGTGTGGATCAAGTTGGGGGAAACTTTCCGTTCCGAGTTGATCGCTAGATCTCATGCTCTTACGCAGGTATCGTCAACTTTTTCTGGAAGAGAGAACGCTAGAAATCGATGCCGTAGTTGCCGTAATAACGCTAGTTTCGGTGTTAAAATACGCCTTCTCTGCTAAAAAGGGCTGATTACCTAATCAACTTGTCAAATTATCTTTCGAAACTATACGGCTATCATACATCGGTACATCGATTCATAACGCCTATACCTCCATCTTGCCATCTAAATACAAAGCAGAAATACAATCAGAAAACTTACGAGAATGTCCGGTATTCAAGAACCCGCCTTCACCTCCCAGGTCACCGAATGGTTGAGCGACAAGGACAACGTTCCTGTTCTGGACGATCTTCAGAAGTGCAAGTCCCGCCCGCCCGCTTCATCCCCTGCACCGTTCCACCGTTGCTAACCGGGGGGTTACATTGTATTACCTTCACTGAATCCGCAGTCGTCGCCCACAGAGACATCGCCGTCCGTCAATCAGAAATCATCGCCTACCTCGCCTCCCAGAAACACCTTCGACCTCGCTTGGAGAAGATTCCCGGGTTCTGGCCTTGGACTTTGAGCAGGAGTGCGACCTTTGCCAGGGCCTGTACGAGCGAGAAGGATTGGGATTGTTTGAGTTATTTGAAGGATATGGAGTTTGTCGTGGATCCTAGGGATTATAGGGCGTTTGATGTTGTTTTCGTGAGTAGTGCTCTCCACGCTTCGTATCGGATGTCATCACGTTGGCTTGACAACTTGCCATCTTCATTCTTATCGCTATGTTTTCCCTTTGCGCCACCTTCAATCTCCTGTGTAATCAAACCCAAACCCTAGCACTTCGCCGAGAACCCCTACTTTACCAACCCCTCCCTGACCAAATCCTACGTCGCCACCTCCGGCCCCACCCGTGGCCTGACCGCCTCTGAACTCATCGGACGGGCTCGTCCTTCCGACCTCTCCACTATCCCTGACGATATTGGCGAGAAGATCGAGGAAAAGCACACGGTGGTCAAGGCCCCGGAGGGGGAGGAATGGGACGTCAAGAAGGTCCAGGAGGAGACGGGGGAGGAGGTCAAGTTGGCCAACACTTTCTTTGACGAGATGGACGATCTTTTCGGGCTGGTAAGAGCATACGTTTTTTTCCTCTTCGTTCTGCTTCTTAACGTTGATTGATTTGGATCTTATCTGTGATTGTGTATCTTTTATAGTCGACCGAGATCAAGTGGAAGTCGGACGAGATGAACCTCTGCAAGTTGTTCCCCAGGGACGAACCTGGTACGCTCCTCCATCTATCTATCTCGCTTTCTTTCCTATATGCTGACATCTTCCCTCCATTCCCCTCGCACTAGACGCCGAAGACGAGAACGATTTCGATGCCGGCGACCGAGGCTCGTTCTTCCACTTCTTCACCGAACAGGTCGATGCGGATGGGTTGGCGAGCATGTTGTGGCAAGACATTTTGCCCAACTGTGTGGCTTATTTCGAGGGTAACGGTTAGTCAACTTCATCCTCCTTCTACCACCTTGTTCAAGGGTAAAGCGTGAACTGACGAGACGTATTTCTCAATAATCCGAATTTCCGACATGGCAAACGCAGGCGCGGACAACGAATCCGACGCCGACGACTCGATGGACGAGGAGGATATGGAGGACGACATGTTGGGCGAGATCGACTTGGTCAGCGAGTCTGACGAGGATGAGTTGGAGAGCAAGCCTGTCGCCAAGAAGCAGGGCAAGGAGGAACAGGGTGGACGGGCCGCGAAGAGGGTCAAGACCCAGTGATAGGTCGATGAGGTTGATTTTCGAGCGAGGGATGATACGATGGGGAAAGAGCGCGCTACTTTCCTTGCGATACGACGTTTTATGTCAGACTGCGATACGATTTGATATGCCGATGGGTGACCCGAAACATTTAGATTCAGTGGCCGGTACGACGCGATCCGACTTTTCGAGATGGCCCTGTCAACAAGAATAGAACAATCGACGAGAGTCGCCAGTCAGTGCTGGATGTACAAGCTGATTGGCGGTGGTTGATTGTGGCAGGTTCAAGAAAGGGTTTGGAACTGTTATTCTTTCCATTTCGAGATGTTCGCGAGTAGATGACCTGGACCCGGCTCCCCTTGAGATTCGGTAGCAGAACGATACTAGTGCTACAATAGGCCTGTCATACAATCACGATTGGTAATCACGGTTCGAACAAAGCTGTAAGATTACATTTGCCACTCAAGCAGAAGGATTTGCTTTGCCTAGATCTTCAACCTCCCATATTTTTCTCACAACACGCTTGCTTCTGTCCCTCTTGCGCAAAGCCCGCTGTAGAGTCACATAGGAAGTACCAAGAAAATCACTCGCAGCACTGATGGTGCTTATGATAGCAAAGTCCACCTGCTGCTTATCATATGTAAAGCTATTTCCATCCACTCGTTTCACAAGCACCAGCTTTGCTGATGCAGAGTTGAGAGATTGTTTTGCTCGAGCTGTATCTGGCATAGGCCTTTGATTACGGGCTCTGATTGACTTTTTCATCCTGGTACTCAAGGAGTGGCGTTGTTTGCTGTGTGCCTCAGATTCTGTCCTGGTATCAATTGTACCTCCAGTGTCTGATGAGATGAAATCTGCTGCAGAATCAATAGGCTGGGCCAATTCGAGGCTGTGTTCCAGCAAATTCATGTCCGTTGTTGCGGGCACTCCGTACCGATTGTTTGTGCTCAACCTGTCTTCATATATTGATGGAACCTGGGTGTTCTCACCATTGTATTCCTGGCATGGTTGATTGGACTCAAGACCGACAGGCCAATTGGACCCAGTTGAAAGAGCCTCAATTTTCCTCAACAACTCCTGGTTCATGTGGTCACTAGACTGTGCTTTTCCCAGGTATGTGACCTTCCATTCTCCACGATCGATGTCAACATCTAGCTCGGCACTATGTAATGACGTGCGGCCAATCCCAGTGATCTTAGTGACATTTTTGTTGCCCCATATCCCTGCAGAGAACACCCAGTCTCCTTCAATGTCAAATAGCTGCACATCAATCCGTCTAACATGATATAGCTTTGCTGCTAGACCACCTTGAGAGGTCTTTGGGAGCAGCTTCATTGCAAGAGTCTTACCCCTTGCGGAACCTTTTAACATCGTTTGGATGGGATCCGGTTGAGTGTAGCCAGATCTTGCTGTGTGTGTTCCGCCACCAGAACCTTCCTCATAGCCCATGACCATCTTGCTCGACTGGGTCATCAATGTTCTGCCTGTGCTGAATCTCCCACCCGCACTCAATGATTGTGACCCATAAGGAGCAGATGAGTTCCAGTCAGGAGCCACTGACTGATGGCGACACTGATGGACTGAAGAGGAAGCAAATGTCATTTCCTCATCAGATTGACTTGGTGTGATATCTTTGATATTGATATAATAGAGATTTGTTTCAGGATCATTGTTGTGGGAGATGTTCTGCTCAGATGCCAGGGCTTCTGGTTGAGCCTGTTGTTTTAGACAAGACCCTCCCTCATTGTGCACTGTCAGGCACATGATTCTGTTTGCTTCAGTTTCTGTGTAGTCTTCAACTTTCCAGATCTCAAGCAGGACACCCCTCGTTGCATTTGAATCTGCCATGGCACTTGAGACTGCACAGGCAGAACATCCAACAAATGCAGCTACGTCTTTGTAAGACTGCATGACCATTGCACTAACCAGGTTGCCATTTTGGTTCTGAAAGAGGGTATCATCCTTGTGCTTCAGAATACATCTCTTTGGAACTGGACCAGTACGGCGCCTTGATTCTTTCTTGTCTTTTGCTGAGGGCGGCTTCCAGCAATCATCTGCCTGAGTGGCTTTTCCACTTGACTGAGCAATGTATACATCTATTGCATCCAAATGGTCTTGCATATTGTCGAACCAGAAGCTGGGGTCTTGATCATGGGGATCATTCAATCCTAAGGAATTTGGAAGAAGTGACTCGTTGCATGTGTATTGATAAGCACAATCTCCCACAGAACCCCCTTCTTGTAAGTCTGTGGCCCCATTGTAGAGCTGTATTGCGCCCAGAGATTCTTGGCGGATCTGTTCTTCATTTGAGGACATAGCCTCACTCGTCATCTCTGTTAAGATTGAGTTGTATTCTTCAATCTTCCAGAATCCATACACAATGCCCTTTCTTCGATCTGTATGTTTCATGGCATTGGAGATTGTAGCTTTGCAGCATCCAATATAAGCAGCTGCACCATTAAATGATGGCATGACTATTCCATCAACAGGATTTCCATTGTTGTCTTGGAGTTTAGCACCATCTAGCCGCTTCACAATACATTGTTGTGAGGAGGGTTGAGCAGAGCGTGATTGGCAGTTTGCCGCATTCTTTTTGGGCTCTTCTGTGTGTGGTTTGCAGTGCGTGCTCTGCTGTTGGAAAGTGTGTTCATCCAATTGAGGCATGACTACGTTTGCCATATCCCATTGGTCTGAGTGGAAGCTGAGGTCTTGATATGCATATGTAGGCTTGAAAGAAGCCGTCAAGCCCTCACTGGGCAATGACATTTCCCCTCCAAAGGCATATATCGCATGCTCACTGTCCAACCCCCAGGAACAATGTTCTTGTTGACCAAACGCCCAATAGTGAGAGTTAATGCTTCTTTCATGAGCTTGCTGTCCGTACTGATACCCATTTCCAGAGACCGGCATCATTGACGCATTGACAAGCGATACTTCCGACCAATCACCAAGACTCAAGTGCATATCTGTCTGAAAGTCGTTTGTAATCCCATCAACCCCTGTATCTAGCCAATAGTTCGCCTCAGGTTCTGCTTGAAAATCCGACATTGTAGAGCTTGCTTTGCTGTATGATTCTTGGACAAATAGACTCCTGTCAGTAACAAACTGATTTCACCACGAATGCAGGCTCGAGTCCAGATGTTTACTCCACAAGTTTTGTTCCCTGGTTGTATCTTGATCCTCAAAAGCTCTTTTGTACTAGCAACAGCGGAGACTTCCTTTGTGTGCTTCTCTGCACCCCTTATGCCTGCAAGGACAAAACCAGGGTCGTTGCTTCTTGGGGTGATGCATAACAAGCACAGTAGAGCTTTCGCAAGGACAGGAAGGTGGCGGACGATTGATCACAACCTCATCGCAGCCCAACTCTAAAAATCTTTGAGCGGGAAGTGAGCAGCAGCTGACAGATCACTGCATGAACGAAATATTAGCTCTTATCAGAGAGCCAGCAAGATCCGCGCTACAAAACTGATCTGGCAACATCCAAGGAAATGCATCGCATTAGCTGGCCCGTAGAAACAAATATGGCGGTCTTGAGAGGGCCTATACAGAACACCGCCGGATCGATTCCGTTACCATGGCCATAGTTGACCTCGCCCGACGAATAACAAGCTCTCAGGATACCTTCGGCTAACATAGAGGCATACAGATCAAACCGAAAAGGAAAGCTTCAAGCCGCTAGTTATGCCCGTTCGACGCAGCCCCTCTACGCGCGGTCGGCTGCAAACGACTTCCTTGCGTTCTATCGTCCCCCTCGTCCGTAAATCTGGCTCTTGATCATGCTTTACGCACATTTCACCGTCCTCCTTGTGCTTCTTGTACGCGTTTACCTCTCGATGTGTTTACTTTGAGCGATGGATTGCAGTCGATGATAGAATTCGGACTTCGTGCTAGGGCCTAGTCTCGATTTATTGCCGTGCCGATCACTGAAGTTGGCATAACACAACAATACGTGCAGTAGCAGAAATTACGAGGCTGCATCTCGAATTTCCTAAACCGTGTGCGCTTTATATTTGGGTCGTCTCGATGTCGCTCAAGCACCAAAGCAAAACCTGTTCGTAGCGCGTGCGACGGTAGGTGGCACTCAATGCTTTGGTCGAGATTCCTCGAGATTTGGGCAACTGGTTACTTGCTGTTCCTGGAGCCTTTGGCATGATACGAGAAGTGAAAGAAACAGAGAGTAACAGTCAGGTGTAGAAGGGACGTTCCAGTTTGGGGTCGATGTATACCTACACATCGCGTTCTCGCATAGTTCGCGGAATTGATGAGATGAGACTGGCACAATCGCCGTTATCCCTAGATGTCGTACTTGATCGGCGTTTGGCAACGTAAGGAACGATTTCGTTCGTGGCCATCCCAATGAGTTCTGATTTAGCATGTCGACATCGGGTCGAGGCAGGATACAGTTCTCATAAATCGATACGTCGACGGAGGTCGATGGAGCGAGGATTTCGCCACATGCGCCACAGGCGCGAGGAAGCGCGTGGCCTCCACATCAGTTCATCGTCTCCGATCATAGTGCGTAGACCTCGAAGGCACAAAGCGGGGTCAACGAGCGACGTCATGCTTTTCTGCATAGAGGAATACAAGTTCATCTTAATAACAGGTGGCCCAAATCGGAGAGGCAGTTCAAGCGTTGGTAGCGATAGGAGGTAGGGGTCGAGCTCCAAAAGTAGCCTGCCAAGCCGCCATGATCCTGATCAAAGTCTGTTCGCCGTGCTTGCGACCGATGAAGAAACCTCCGATGGGAGTATTGTCGCTCAGTAGACCGATCGGAACGGAGGCTGCGAAATGGGTGCTCGCATTTAGTAAAAGAACATGAAGCAGCGATAGTCAAAAGATAAACTCACCGATAGGGTAACCGACCATAGCCGCAGCCGAATGATGTCCCTCTCGAACCATAAACAGTGCATCCAGATCGTACTCTTCCATAACCGCATCTAGACCACGCTTTCCAGCAACGAGCTTCATCTCGGCCTTGGCTTGAGCGTACTCGATCGAGTCGACCTTCGCGGCGGTAAGCGTGCGTTTCAAGACCTCTTGGCCGTGGTGGCCGGGAGGCATCTCGATGTCGGCATGTTTCTCGTTGAAGCTGTGAAATCCGAACAGAGTGTCAGACTGGGAGCTGTTGTAATACGCTCGAATTTGTTAAACTTACTCGATGATATCGGCAACCGAACGGCAGCCTCCCTCGCCACCAAGACCTTCGAGATATTTGCTCAGGTAATGGTTACAGTCCGCCGCCACAACCAACGCCCTTGAGCCCCACATGCAATCCCACAAACTGCCATCGACCGCGGAAGGGACGTCAGCCGGGTCTTGAACCGTCGCCCCGCTGGCGGACATCATCTGAATGACCTGCTCAAACGGGTTGGCGATTTCGGGTACAAGGATCTCTCGACCAGGTCGGCGCCAAGGGTCGGTGTCGACCCAGTTCTGTTTCGTCGACGAGAAAGATCAGTCCTGTGTTCTGCTAGAAATGCAGCTGTATCACAGGAACTCACCTTCCGAGGTATGCCGATCCGCAGGCCTGCAAAAGTAGGGTTCTCGCAGCTGTCGATGTACTGCCAGACGAAAAATCATTAGCGAACGCCTGCGATGAGTATTCAACATTGCAACTCACCCTGACGCCCCGTGGAATCCTGTCTACCTCGAGAGCTGCAACGCGGCACGTTCTTTGTCAGCCGGACCTGCCCGCTTGTAGACGCGAACTCGTGCCCTTGAGCTTACTCTTGAGATCATCATCATCGCGACCGTTCATGACGTCCATGAGGATAGCCAGACTCTCGACGTCTTTCGCCATCGGCCCTGGAGTATCAAAGTAAGGCGCGAACGGTACCACCCCTGCACGACTGAGCATACCCACAGTGGGTTTGAGTCCGTACAAGCAGGATTGAAGGCAGGGGAGGGTGATCGAGCCGTCTGCAGAGCGGGTCAAGGTCAATACGTGAAATTCCAAGCACTGTGCGGACTGGGAAATTCACCTGTCTCGGTCCCGATAGACGCCGGGCAGAATCCGGCAGCTACCGCTACCCCATTTCCACTCGAGCTGGTGCCCGGAGAAGCGTGAGCGGCCTACGACATTGACATCGCATTGAAGCTCCCTCGTCAGCTTGCGCGTATCATAGACTTGTCAACAGAGACGACTCACGTAGACGTTGATAGTCTGACCTCCGACGGCACTCCACCCAGGCCCGGCATTCCCGCTCTTGTAATCCGCCAACTCGCTCATGTTCGCCTTGGCCATGACTATCAACACCGTACAAGTGTCTCTCGTCAGCCATCTCCGCGGGTACAGCATGATTCGAACAGGTAAGAGAAAGCGGCTTACTGATAGCTCCAGCTTGTCGCAGCTTGCGGACGATAAACGCGTCCTTCTTGACTGGCATCCCGAGGAGAGCGAAAGACCCGGCGGTAGTAGGCAGTCCGAGTTCTTCGTCTGTACCGATGTTGTCCCTAATGAACGAGAAAACAAGATCAGCTCAGAGCGGGACAGCCCGAAATTGTAGATGATTTCGTAAGACTCACTTGACGACGATCGGAACTCCCCACAATGGCGTCCTTTCCCAATCGACGATCCCCCTAGCTCGGAACTGATCACACATCCTAGCCTCATTCAAAAGGCTCTCCCTATCTCTAACCCAACAGAGGGCTCGGAGCGTAGGGTTGTGCTCGGCGATCTGGGTCAGGTAAGTCTCGATTATCTGCACCGAGGTGAGGGTATGAGCTTGCAGTGCTTGGATCAAGGTGGGAAGGGTTGCTGTGTAAGGGTCGAGTTTCTGGGTTTGGTGGTGAGGTGGACAGGGGGAGGCCGAATGAGAGTGAGAGTGAGAATGGGGGTGTAAAGGCGAGTGCGAGTGGAGGTGAGCGTGGAGTGGCGAGTGCGAATGAGCCGAACCCGACCCGGACGAGCCGACGGCCGGATGAAAGTGCTGATAAATCGAGTTGTATGAACTCCCGCCCCGGCCCGTGGATTTTGACTCCTTTCTCTGTCGACGAGCCGAAGGCGAGGCGATCACCGGGCTCGAATTGACGTGTTTATCGCCTTGGATGGTGTTATTGGTGTGGTCGCCATCAGAGTTGAGTTCCAATTCAACTTCTTTGACGATGACCTTGGCGGTATGCTCGACCTTCTCCTTCTCTTTTTCCTCTCCTTGAACATCCGATAGCGAATGTTGATGGACCTGAAAACTAGCCGGAATCGAGTTTGAAGGGAGCCGTCCGGTCCTCCCCCGTCCGCGAACGATAGGGCTGAAAGGTCGACCACTTCCAGACCCATGAATATAGGTATTGGCAACAGCGTTACCTCCCGCAGGTGCGCCGAACCTATCGATCGACCGAGCCCGAGATCCAGCCCGAGCCTGAACTTGAGATTGAGCTCGAGTTCCCGCTTGACTGAGAGTCCTAGTTCGGCTCCTAGTCTGACTTGTGCCCTTGTCCTTATGACCGCCTACCAACTGGAGAGCCGCAATCTCGTGATTGATCGGAACGGGTGTTGCGGCCGAGATGTATTGAGGGCGGGTATGACCGTGACTGTGTGGATGGGAGTGTGCAGAAAGAGATCGTTGTCGTCTCTGCCTCTGGCTCTGGCTTCGAACCTGAGAACGTGACTCCTCTTGATGGTAATCATGATGATGTTGATGTTGATGTTGAATTTGATGTTCTTCGATCCGGACCATATCCAGCTTTTCATCCAACTCCGCTATCCACCCGTTCGCCTCCTTTACGTCCAAAGCCGTATTCCCGTTGGCACTTTCCTGCTCGACCACTGTAGCTCCTTTCGAACTCAACGAGACTTGCTTCAGGTTCGACTTTGACTCCGATTTCGATCTCAAACCCGTCTCTGGATTCTCGACGACGTGATCCGCAATTGTATGTCCCAGCGGGTCGATCTCGTCCTCCTCCTCCGAGGCGGGACTGGGAGGTGCGGTAGACCATGGCGAAGACTCTTCCGACGCGAGTTCAAGCTCAGGGTGAGTGTGGTCGTGGACGATCAGACCAGGGAGCTCTTCGTTAGAAGGGATCGAGGGCAAGTGGTTCAAAGTGTGATTGTGGTTCTGGTTCTGGTGATCGTGGTATTGAAATTGGTTGCACTGTCGATATTGGTATTGGTGTTCGTGTTGATATTGGACATCGTAATCATCGTACGCCTCTTTCGAATCCTCTCCGATCGATCGCTCTCGTCTTTGATTCTGATACTGAACAGGGGTGTGGATTTGGGTGTGGGTGTGGGGAAAGACCGAGGTAGCCATAGAATAGAAGGACGACTACTGCTATTCTCCTTTGGTGGCTGGTGTGATGCGGTCTAGGTGATCGATACTGTGTAGGGTGGACTACGGGGTTCGAGGTTTGGGGGCGGTAGGAGATGGTATTGAACACGAGGTCACTGGATAATAGGCCCGGTATTCGTAGATCTCCTATCGAGGTTTCGAGGGTTGAGTGGAAGTCGAGTGTTTGTGGGTGGTCGTGTGAGGCGAGGCGAATTGTATGCTTGTCTGCTTGAGAGGTTTCGAGGGTTCGGGGTTGAGTTTACGATGCTCGTGAAGCGGGACAGGACGGGAAGGTGGTGAGCGGGGAGGACTGACCTGTTTGTACGATATCGTCGAGCCTTTATATATGTATCGAGGCCGATGATGATTGTACTGTCGATGACGATGCGATAGCTGGATGTGTCACCCCAACGGACTCCGCGTCCTTGTTTATCAACGGAAGGCGAAGGCGAGAGATAAGAAACAAAGGGGAAACAGCGGGGGCGATCGCCCTTCGCTTCCGCAAGCGCAGAGCTCAAGCGCCTGGTCAGATAGAAGCGCGAAGATCAAGGCGGAACACTCACACGGGACCAGTTTCTATCTCGTGGCAGCGAGGTGGCCTCGCGACGCCACCCCGCTGCCACGAGGTGATCGTCATCGCGTGAAAGGGGAACTCATGTCGGACGGCGATCTCCGAACACAAGTCCCGCGCCCGACGGACGATTTCTACGGGGCGCCAATTGGACCACTTCCGTTTGCTCGGGAAAACTTGCCGGAGACGAGACAAAACCTGTCGGGGACGAGACAACGTAATTCAACGTAATATGACGTAAAGATATTGGCAATTTCAGACGTCTGTTTGAAATTGCAAGTTATACTGGCAGTCTCCCAAAACTGACCCCACCGTAACGATACGGCGTACATCTACACATCATAAACACTGCTAGTATTCGAGATGTGTTTGTACGAGGTATACATCCCCTAGATGACAACGTAGTATACACCCACATTACCCTTAGCATGGAAGCCCTACTCGCTCAGTTACAAGCCCAAGGCGTGGTGGAATCACCCTTCGTGGAAGAAGAATGGAAGCTTCCAAAAGTTAACACCCCGATCATTGATCTGACGACCTCTTCCCCCTTCGATTTCCCTCTATACGATCCAATTCCTTTGCCCGACGAGGAAGAGGAGGCGGAACTCGACATCGAATGCATTCCCTCTCCCCTAGCCGCCGTGCAAGACCTCTACCAACTTGCCGATGAGATTACCGACATAAACCTCCCTCCCGACCTTCCCGACCAACCTCCAAGCGATGACTTCCATGTTCGGCTCCCCCCTATCAGCCCCACTGTTACCCTTACTGCTCTCATCGACGCTGTCAATCTGCATGGCAAACAGAATGGCTATGCTGTACGCAAGGGCAGTACAGCTAAAGATAGGAAAGGCGAAGTTGCATATGTGTATCTCGTATGCCCGTACAGTGGGGTTTATAAACCGTCTCATGCCTACTTAACTGAAATCGGGCCTATGACAAACCGCCGACCCTCCACCAAACGTCGAGGTTGTGAATTTAAGTTATATGCCAAACTATCGAAAGGCATGTGGTCGGTCGTAGCTAAAGAACTACGTCACAACCATCCTCGCGACCCTTCAGCACGCTCTCAACATATCCATCGAAAACCTACTGCAGCTGAGACCATCGCTGTTCTAGCTGCATTTGATGCAGGAATCAATAGCAATAGGATTCTTGCTTCACTTCGAGAAACCGCTAAACGTGAAAATCGGGAAACTCTTGTATCGGAACAAGAGATCTACACCATGCGATCTCGATACTATCGTATAGGAGGGGGAGGTCGTACGCGTACCGACACCTTGATTCAAGAACTGAAGAACTCAGGGTCACATACCGCCGCCAAGTTTGGACAGTTTGGTGAACTCACGCACCTGCTTATTACCGATCCGATGGCACTCGCGCTGGGCAAACACTATGGGGAAGTTCTCTATATCGACTGCACCTATCGTACCAACAAATTCAAGCTGCCTCTCTTCCATGTGGTGGCCTCAACCGGTGCGAATTGTTCTTTTACAATTGCCTTCGGATTCTTAGCCAGGGAGCAAGAAGACGATTATCTCTGGGCGATGCATAACCTTAGAGATTTACTACGTATCGTTCCGGTGAAAACATTCGTCACCGATAATGATAAGGCTCTTCGAAACGCTATCGACCGTGCTTATCCAGAGGCGACAAAATTGCTCTGTATCTGGCATATCAACAAGAACATCGTCTCCCGTAAGAAGGGAATAGCCGAGGAGGATTGGAATAAAATGCTTTCCCATTGGTACCGCATTGTACGAGCTCCCACGCTCACTGAATTCGAGGAGGTGCTCACCTCCTTTGCGATGGAGTGGACCTATCGCGACGATACAGAGGCTGCATGTACCTACATGATGACACTGTTCAACGACGCCGAATACTTCTGTGCTTATGCCACGAAGGGGAAATTCCACCTCAATGCAACAGCCACAAGTGTCGTCGAAGGATCACATGCAGCTCTCAAACGTTCTCTGAACGCTCGAGCTAGTGATCTGTATCATGTCACCAACAATGTGCTACGGTACATGACAGCTGGTCAGTACCGTATCTTCACAAAGCATGCACACGAACAAGGGCGAGGATGGGTGGAATTACCGTCTAGTCTAGCACTGGTGGGTTTAATATTGGTTTGTAGACGTCGTAACGTTACGAATAACTTCGACCATTTGCAGGTACAAGGGAAAGTCTCTTGACATGCGTTACGTCTTATGGTAGAGGGTCCTCATGCCCATGCTCGTGCCAGCATGGTCCAACATAAACCACTCGACAGGTGCAAGGATATTTGGGAAGAGGATATTGACACGGGCGAGATGGTCAAACTCCCTGGGCTTTGTCTCTATACGCAGAGCACAGGCTTACCCTGCAAGCACGTGTTTGATAGTCTCATACGCGGAGTTAGAGTACAGCCTATCAAACTGCACGAGATACACAGTCATTGGCATCTCGTACACGAGAACCAACTGGTAGAAGAGGCGCAAGCGATCGGGCATTATGTCCCCCGTATCGTTACGAGGGAAACAGGCGACTTGGAACTACGAACAAGGGCAAACATCGCTCCTCCAATCGTCAATCGATACATCCCTGTTGATCGAGATGCTCTTCCACCGAGGGCAGAAGATGATCCAACCATTCTCGACCCCATGAAGGCGGTACACGTGGGAAAAGAAAAAAAGAAAAAGAAGAATGCTGTCGCGCCGAGCTATCAACAGTCGCATGGCTTGGCTGAAACACTAGCTCGTATCGATCCACCGGCTGCTGTCGATACTCCTGTTGCCAAGACAGGCAGAGCCTATTCTCGTCACGAGAACATCATCAATCAAGAACGGGCTCGGACCTCGAGCGCACCTGCTACAACAGATAGAGCTCCAGTCTCGTGCAGTGTGTGTGGGGGGCCACATAACTACCGTTCACCCAAGTGCAAGCAAGGCCTGGCAATTGTGCAAGCTGAGGTATTAGCAGGATCTGCTCGTCGAGCAGCATCGCAACAATCGAACAACGGTAGAGCGATGAGCACCCTTTCCATTGAAAGAACTCCAGGAACCGATGTCCACGAAAGGCAGGGGGACCTGAGCGTTGGTGTGATGCTCGCTCCATCAACTCAGCCTCGACGACAGGGATGATTGATGAGCCAAACTCCGATTAAAACCCTCCCCGTAACGATACGGCGTATGGAAAAAAGTCAAAGGACCCTTTGATCGTTTCAACATGCCTTTGGGCGTTTAGCGCGCGTCGGATGAAGCCGCTTGTTCTGTGGATCGTTCTTTATGTCGCGTATTCCTCTGTTCCATATGCCACAATTAGATTTGAGTTTGAACGATGTCTCATACGACCACCGTCGTCAAGTCGATGTGTTTCAACCCCTCAATGCTGGAATCTGGTTGGCCGAGTCATGACATCACCATCGTACGACACGTCGACAGATTTTTCCTGCCTAACAAAACAAAAAACATATAACTCGACAGCTCATTTACGATTCGAAGAGATCCCCCTTTCACTTCAATTCACCTTTATTCACCTACTCTTCAATTCGGGACTCGTACTCGGACTTGGAATAAGTGGGATTCATTCTCTTGTTTACTTTTGTGAGTCCTCTCGTATCGATACGGCGTACAAAGGACTCTCAACTGATCATTGTTGTTCTTCATCGCCAGCAAACTCATTTTGTTAGTACCGCGTTCGACTGTCTTTATACTCAATCTGATCATCGATGCTGTGCTTTACAGTGCAACCATGAACGACCTCGACTCCGATGAAGAACTCCAGGTGGTCTCGAAGGCGGACAAGGCCCTCTTGAACGCCCAGCATCAGATTCAGGCTCAGAACGAAGAGCTGTGAGTCTATAGCTTTTTCTCGTTGTTGCTATACGTCTTGTCGCTGATAGGGATCGATATGTCTAGCGCCAAACTCTTTCGTCTCGAATATCTCCTCGAATGGCCGGAAAACCTGCCCCGTTCCGGTCTTAAAGCTCACCCGACCGGCTTCGTCTCGTTCGAGGATTGGATCGATCAATATGTTGCGGCCAACAACGAGGCCCAACGTATCGCCAAGGGGGGAAAGAAGGGAATCGATCATTCCCCCTCCAAGAAGACCCGCAGGCAGATCGTGTCGAAGGTCGACGGCGCCGAAATTCCCTACCTTCCTAACGACAACACCAAGCCGGTCATGCGTCTCAGCACTGGGGCGTACGTTGCCTGTCTTCAGATCAAGGTCGACAAAGGCGGGGTGAAGAACGACAAGGCCGGGTGGAGGGACGACCAGACGAGTGAGTAATGTGTTCATTTACGTCGTATCGTTACGGTGCTTATCTTATTCGTATTTTTCTTTCGTTCAGTCGCCGAGATCATCGTCGACGAGGAAGAACGCGCGGTTCTTCCTATCTTCCCGCCCGTGGACTTGCTGATGGCGTGGTTGAGGCCTAACCGATCCGGGAAGGTCAACATCAAGCCGATCAACGGCTGGTTGGTGAGTCGTTCGATTACATCGTTGTTCATCGATGTTAGCTTACGATTTGACTTTACATCTAGGATCAATGGCGCGGTGGATGGCAGGTCGCCTGCCTAGGTTGTTACCAAAGGGTGATCGAGAAGAACGAGCCCCCTTCTTACATCGATGAGAACCAGCTCGTCGTCAGCAACCCCGGTATCGATCCCGACAACATTCACCGCCCCCTCGTCCACTGTGTCAAGTACGGCCCCGTCTTCCTCTGCCGAAAGAACCTTGGGTCGTCCGACGAACGCACTTGCGGCCAATGCAAGGACAAGAAGGCCGTCTGCCACGCTCGGGACCCTCGTGTCGGGGACATCGCCAACGACCCTGACGCTCATCCGATGAAGAGGATCGACGCCGTCCTTGAGACGATCTTTTCCCAAGGTCAAATGACCAAGGAGGCTCGACAAGGACACGTCCTGCTCATTCGTGAGCAGTTGAAGGCCAATCTCTGTCACGCGGCTCGTGGTCACGACGGGAACCACCCTTTCGTCTCTCACAAGGAGCACATCACCGGTTCCGACGACGAGAACTGACCGGCGGAACGATACGGCGGGGTCGACAGGAGTAAGATCCTGATTTTTAAATTCCAGAACTGCTCTCAACCGGTTCGATTATCTTTGGGTTTTTCAAAGATTCTTAGTTACGATAGACAACGGGGGGGGTGAAATTCCCCCCCCATACGTTGTATTTATACTGGGGGAGGTGGAATTCCTCCCCATTCGGCGTGTTTGTTCATATCAATTGATATGTCGCTGATAAACTGGTCTTCGACACCTCGTAACGATACGACGGTCTGCATAGAGTTTCGTACAAGAGGGAGTCGGTAGTACATGCTTGGTAGACATCACGTGACACGCTTACGTCACCCTCGCGGCAAGCCACCCTTACGCAATATTACGTTGTCTCGTCCCCGACAGGTTTTGTCTCGTCTCCGGCAAGTTTTCCGTTTGCTCGTAGTCGTTTAGTCAGCAACGTTTAGTACACAACGTATACTCGTTACTCGACAGCGTTTAGTCCTTTACTCGACATCGTTTAGTCCTCTACACTACAACGTTTACCTCATACCCAATATCGTTTACTCCCTCATACTGTTTTCATACATATACCATACGTAACATATTCAAGTCGGCCGACCGGACCCAACATGAACGCTACTATGCAGATCCATTCCACTTTCTCTGTACTAGTCTTTCTCCTTCACCACCATCCCGTATTCCCACCATAGCTATGTCTACTCAAGAAGCACGACTCCTGTTCTTGGCTGATATCGCCTATACTACCCACCACCCTGCTGTCGAATACCTCCTCTCGCCACCTCATCAAAGGGACCCATTACGCATATCGCCTCTGATCTCCTCTCTCGACGAATTCCTACACTTCCTTACCCTCCATGTCTACAGCAAGATCTCCAAGCAGCTCTACGCACACTACTATCAGACTACCTCACACCTTCGAGAACAGCTGATCTCGGTCGAGACTTCCCTGGCTGCGCGAACGTCTCGAGCTTCCCAACCGACAGGCGGCCGACCTGTCGGTGGTCGTTCGCATGCAACCCCTATTGACCCTGTCAACCTTGAGCAGATGGTACGCCTCGGATTTACGGACAAGCAGCTCGGCTTGATGTTCGACTGTCATTCCTCGACTATCAAGCGTCGGCGTCGCACTCTTGGACTCATGAAGCAGGAACCCAAGCACCGATTGTCTCGGGCAGAGGTGGAGCAAGCTATTCTACAAGCGATTGGGGGCCAGGACGAGACTACGGTAGGAGCGGTCACTGTTTGGGGCCAGCTCAAAGCCTGGGGCCTCTCGGTAACACGAGCCGAGGTAAGGAGCACCTTGCAGCAGTTGGAGCCAGCAAATCTTGCCAGTCGTACCACGCATACAGTACAACGACGAAGGTACCACGTACCGTTTGTGAACTCAGTCTGGCACATCGATGGTCAGCACAAGCTTATCAACTGGAAGTTTGTGATACACGGTGCCATCGATGGCAAGTCACACCTTATCACCTGGCTTCATGCTAGTCCGAACAACTTTGCCGAAACGGTTGAAGGGCTGTTTCTGGAAGCCGTCGATCAGTGGGGCTGGCCTAGCCGTATTTGAGCGGACTACGGGGGAGAGAACCTTAGGGTGAAAGCGCATATGGAGAGGGTACAAGGTACGTTTTGTGCATGCCACTTGATACCAGACTTCACTGAGCCTAACTTATCGCCGACTGTCGGCCGACAGGTCGTACCAGAGGTTCATTCATGCAGGGTCGCTCTGTACACAATGTACGCATCGAACGCCTCTGGAGGGACGTCGGCCTGAAGGTGACCAGGAAGTACGCACGCACCTTCGAGCTCTTGGAGAAGTCAGGCGTCCTTGACCGCAACGACCCAATACATCTATTCTGCCTCCACTACGTCTATCTTCCACAAATCAACTACTCTCTCGATCTATTCCGAGATAGTTGGAACTACCACGGGATGAGCTCAAAGGGACTGGGCGGTGCTAGTCCTATTCAGCAATGGGTGGGAGGTATGTTTCTATCTCCCTGCGACGGACCTCCGAAACTTATTAATTAAACAGTACTGATTTGATAAATTTAAATGTCTTTCGTCCTGAGCAGGCCTACTCGACGCGAAAGCGGCCGGCTTTCACATCGAGCTGTCACCGGATCTACGTTACAATGAGGACGAGGACGAAGCATTCGCTCTAGGGGTAGAGGACGATGTTGTGGAGCTACCACCTCGACCGGAACATTTGCAGCGCGACCAAAATCGCCATGGCCGTTCATCAGCAATCGACACCTCCCTATTCCTGGACGACACTCCTGTGGTCGAGCAAAGACGTCAGCCTCACTACGAAGACCCTCACGTTGTGGTCCCGCAGTTTGGGCGGCACGTTCCTCAACAACTGTTCGACAGGGAATTTCAAGACGAACTCCAGGCCAAATTCCCGTTTGTCGCGCCAAATCTCGGGGAATTTGGAGAAGAACGTTACATAGCGGTGCTAGACTTCGTAGAGACCTTCTTACGACTGCTCACCCAACCTGCTTGCGTGTGAAAACCATACATGGCCCTGCAATGAATAGGTATTTTCGAGTTTGATGATGATGTCATTGATGACGATAACGCGTTGTTTGTTGTTGTGTTTCACGTTTCAGGTTGCTCGCTTAGGCAAACTAGGTTCTCAAAGGACCCTTTCGTTGCTGTTGTTCTGTTCCTGTCGCTTACATCAAAGAACAACAAAGAGAGAAAAAAACTGCTGACGTTCTAGTCGATTCCCTTATAGGTAAATACCCCTGCCGTCGCTTTCAAAACTCCGACGCCTTCAACTCCCCGTATTGCCCACCTATACGAACCTACTACCCTTCATACAATCCTAAAAGTTCTCCAAGAATCGCCATGTCAGACAAGGAAAACGAGCTTCCGAGCAACAGCGCTCGAGGGGAGGGGAGTTCGAGAAGGGCGGGTCGGCCGACTGGCGGTCGTGAGTCGGCCTTGGGTCGTGTGTGCAAATTTGACATCCTTTGAGCTGTTCTGGTTCGTTTTTGGGTGTGACATCAAGCTTCTACACATCGAGGAAGTCGGGTGATGATGCGTAGGGGTGTAGGACGTCCTGCTACGGCGGCAGAGTCATCTCCCGAGCGAATAAGAGGAAGAGGAAGAGGTAGCGGAGGTGGGCGTGAAAGAGGAAGTAGAGGGACTCGTGGGAGGGGTCGAGGTCGACGTGGAGGCGTCCCCCATCGATACGCCAACCTGGATCCCGAGCAGTTCGGTAGCGACGATGATCCTGATCTCCTACAAATCGACGTAGAATCTGAGGATGGATATGGACGGTCTCCTACCTTTCGGAGACAGATGTTTGGGTCGGTGTTATAGCGATCACGTGACGCGTCGGACGCGCCGTACGCGACTCCCGTATGCAACTCCCGTCGGGGGTACTTCTCGGTGTTGTTGTTCTGATGTAGAACTAGTACCTCTGTAATAGCTCTACATCCGTTATTACATTTAGATGTCTACCCGTACCTTGCCTCATTCCTGCGTCCCGTCAGCCTGTCCAGGGGGATCCCCGCCGGGGGCCGCTCCCGGGCCTTACAGAATAACGGATCATCAAAGGACCCCGAATGGGGGAGCACAGGGAGGTAGCCGGATCCCCTTGCAGTTGGGTGCAAGCGGAGTACCCAACGGTCCAGATAGCCATCTGACGTTGGTAGGAGTGTTCTACCCGGAAGGAGTGCCGGTCCAAGCGCTCATGTTGTTGGATTCGGGAGCGACCGGGATGTTCATGGATCGGACATTCGCGTCGCTACATGGATTCGACGTAACGGACCTCGAGACGCCGCGGGTAGTAACGGTGATCGATGGTCGGGGGATCCAGGGAGGGAGGATCACCCAGAAGGCTCGTACGCTGGTACGTACGGGAGTGCACCTGGAACTGACCGAGTTCCACCTCACCGATTTGAGTGGGTACCCGGTCGTACTAGGTATTATAGGCATCCGCGGTACGCATGTCGTACACACGCGGGATGTAGGTTTTCACCTCGTACGGAGGTCCGTTCGGAGACTCTCTCGGAGACTCTCTCGGAGACCTATTAGGAGATGTGTTCGAAGATGTCTAACTAGCACCTTGTAGTAGTTAGACATCCGTTATTACATTCATTACCCTACCCGTACCCTCTAGTCCCGTGTGTTACTATTCAGGTTTGCTGGCAAACCTTATAGAATAACGGATCACCCAAACACCCCGACTAGGAGACCCCGTATACGATGAATACGTTCACGCAGTGTTACGGACCGGATAGGGCTGTCCACCCCATCCCTGCGGATGCGATCCCGGTCTTGAGCGAAGACGGGAGCATGCAGATGATGGATGGACAAGGAAGGTTCATGTGGAGGAACCCAACTGGGGAGACGCTGGTAAACGACCAGTGCGTCTTTGCCCACCAGCAACCGGAGGTAGGTGCCCTGGGGGTACCTACCGCTTCCACGCAGGCCGCACCGGCCAACAACATGGGGCAGACTCCCCCACAAATGCAGTCAACACCCCCAGCAGCTAACCCTGCTCCGGCCGCTGCGCCTCCTACCAGTCCGGACGTTTCCGCCCTGCTCTCCATGATGGCGAACATGCATAGCCAGATGATGGAGTTGGCGATGTCGAGGGACACTCGATCGGCGACGGCCACGGAGGAAGCGAGAGCGAAGCTGTTCAAGTTCGGTACGCCGGACAGGTTCGATGGCAGCAAGAAGGAGAAGGTTAGGGGATTCCTGGACCAATGCAACCGGGAGTTCCAAGTCAAGCCGGGGTTGTACACCGACCTTTACAAGATTATGTACGCGGAGTCGTACATGGATGGGCAGGCCCAGGCATGGGCAAGGGAGTACTCGTCGGGGCGAACTCAGGTCACCTGGCGGGAGTTCGAGGCGTTGCTCGTGGAGATGTACGGAGGTGGAAGGAACATCCTTGCTACGGAGAAGGAGTACTACTCTCTGAAGCAGGGCAACAAGAGCTTGAATACGTACATCACCGAGTTCAACGATCTCGCCGC